TTTTAAAAATATATTGACTGATATAATAATTTACTTATTATATATATATGAAAATAACGCTATTAGATACTAATTAAAATATTAAATGAAGGCAGTGAAAGAATTAAATTTATTTATACAACCAATATAAAGGGGAAGTAAAAGCGCGTCCCTATTGTGTCTTGAAATAGCAATTTAATAAAATTAAAATAGTATTAAAATACAATGGCAGTAAATAGTTTAATTATTAATGTAACGTTTAATGAATAAAAATTATTTAAAATGTTGTAACTGAATGTTATAGTTTTTATATAATTATATATTCATGCAATAATTATTAATAAAATATATTTTTTTTGCGTTGGTATATTAAATATAATACGGAAACAGTGGAAGTATATAGTTTATTTATAAGCCATTAAAGAAAAAAAAAAGTAAAAAGCACGTGACCTGTGGTGCCTTCAATTTCAAGTAATATAATTTAGTAAAATTTAAATATTATAACATATAATAAAAAAATTTTACCAAAAAAAATATATATTGATAACAAATACTAAAAAACTTATACGGTTCTACAACTACAATAATAATTTAGTTAGAGATAAATAATATTGTTTATTATTACATGCGTCAAATTAAATATGATAATTTACTTATTACTATTTTTAAGATAAAAATTATAATAGATTAGATTTTATTTTGCGTTGATATTGACTGAAATAAAAATGAAAGCAGCGAATGTAAAACAATTTATGTATACAGCCAATAAGGGAGAAAGAAAATATAATGCGAATGACCTATTGTGTACTTTGGTAGATGTAAGTATAATATAACAAAATTTAAATAGTTATAACATTAAATGAAATATAAAATAAAGTAAAATAAAAAATAACTATGATATAAATTTAATAGTTTAGGTATTTATATAATTTCAATAGTTATTAATTTTTATAGATAACTAATATTAATATTAATTTTTAGGCATTAAATAAATAAAATTAATATATATCGAAATATAAAAACTTACTGAAAAAAAAAAACTTACTATTATAAATTGAAGAAATTGATAATAAAAAAAATACATATTTGGTTCATGTTAAATAATACTAAAAAAATTAGAGAAAGTAAAAAATATTTTATACAGCGAATAAAGAAAGGGAAAGTAGAGTGCATATGGTTTACTGTGTCTTCAACCAGAAATAAATATACTTTAAAAGTATTTACACAATAATAATATTTAACAATTATAAAATATAATAAAAATCAAAAATTAAAAATTTAGTTAGTATAAGTAATATATTTTTTAAAGTATATATTTTTTGTTTAATATAAAGAATTTTATTCAAAAGTTATTTTATATTTTTTATAAAATTTTATAATTTTATATTAATAATAAATAATTTAGAAAAAAATATAAACATTTATAATTTTAACAAATATTAAAAGAAATTGATAAAAAGTTAGAAAAATTAAAATTCATATATTAACTATATATAAAACTAAATTTACTTTGTTTTTAAAAAAAATATAAAAAATACTTGAACTTGAATAAGAGTAATTGTAAATAAATATTTGATTAACTTTTATGTAGCAAAAGTTAAATGATGTAATAGTATTTTCTAATTTACAAATTGTAATAAGTAAACTTCAGTAAATAAAATATATATAATAAATATAAATAAAGCTAAAATGTTTCCTTTTTTATAATTATATTTCGGTACAGAATAGAATCATAGTTGATTACTTTTAAAATAATTATGTAGAAAATTTTTTCCATACACTTAAAACGAATTTGGAGAGAATCTCTAATCCTACTTTCCAAGTTTATTAGGGGGTTTTGAATTTACTTATATGCACTGGACCTGAAAATCTTTAAACTGAAAGCTGGCAATAATAATTGCAGCATTAGAATATAATATAATAACCTTAAAGTTATTAAGTGTAGGATAATAATTAAATTTAGTTATTAATTAATTAGTTGGGTAATTGATAATAATCTTTAATTGATTTTTACTTAGAAATAAGGCCTTATTAATGTGACTTTATAATACTTTAAGCATAAATTTGAAAATGCTGAATACTTTTATTTCATCTTTAGATGAGAGAAGAATAATTAAAAGTAACCAGACAAAGCCATCTCTCTAACATTTCAAAAAGTATACTAATAACTGCTATCATCTATTTACTATATTCTTAGAATAAGATAAGAGTTTAGATGCTTTTAAGGGTACCTATAATATATATATATATATATAATCCATTTGCTTCAGAACATCGTTATTATCTTTAATAGGGAGGTTAGACATGAAAGCTTATTTAAGCCTACAATATTTAAACTTGGCATTCCGATATTTTTTTTAGGTTAAATACTTAACCACCTAAATATTTGAGATTGAGTTTGTGCTTAGGAAAAGTGCACCTTTAAGCAAATAATTAATATGAACCTAGCCAATATCAAAAATTTTTTTAAAAAAAAGAAGAAGTGAAGAACATTTTTTTGCACTAATGTCATACTAAATTAGTAAAGTTTACAAAATAAAAGAAGTAAATGAATAATATTCAGCTAGGCAGATGACAATAATTATTTTTTTACACAAAAGAATGTTTATAAAACCTTTTGTGAGGCTGCGTATAATAAAGTATGAAGTAAAAGTTACTACTGAGGTAGAGGTTTTATTTTCCCTTATGCTTGAGATAGAGTAAATATGGAAAAGAACTTTTTTGAAACGCAAGGAATACTGTCAAATTTTTCACATAAAAGGCTTTACTAAGTTAAATTCTTTGAGTTAAAAACAGAAAGGTTAATAGTTAAAACTTTTGCAAAAGTCTCTTAACATTATTGACTTTTTTATAGGATAATATTTATCACAATTTTAAAATCTGAAACATAATATTTTCTAAGTTTAGGAGAGCCTTTTTATAAAAGGAAGTAAAGTTTACCTAAAGTTTTAAGTTTATTTTCGTTAACTAGCATAGTAACTTCTAACCGAAAGTAATTAAGCGCTCTTTTTTATTGGATTTTGAAGTTTTTGAATTAGACCAGCAATCATAAGGTTTTTGTTGTTAAAAAAAATTTACTATAATTTCATTCTATATCTGTAATGTATGTGTTACGATAATTTGAGTTCATTAAGTATCGCAATAATTAAGGAGAGATAATGAACCTTATTAATCCTAAAATTATTTACGTACATTCAAATAGTAGTATGGTAGGCGGTAAATGTTAAATAGTTTCAATAAGACGGGTCTTTTTGATGCCAATCTTTTCTTTATAATTAGAACCCGAAACAAAAAACAAAAAGCTGTGAATATTTTGTCGAGACTATTGCAATTCTTTTAGGCCTGATAACAAACACTATTATTTTATGTATATTAGCTCCACACTGAGGGAAAATAGGCCCGGGTATCACATATAAAATTCTCATAACTACGAAGTAAGTCTAACTAATTTGTTAGCTCTAAAAGCAGACTTAAACTATTTATCACAGATTTTTTAAAGTTGACGAATCTATTTTTTAAGAGCTCGCCGGCTACCACAATATATAAATAACCTTACTTTGTCCATACGTTAAAGACTGAAGCCCTAATAAACAAAATATTTTCACAGTTAAGCTAATAAATACATTTTTTTTAAACGAACGGCACCGAATGCATATATTCTTTATATTATAATCTGCGTTTTGTTTCCCGAATTCACTCCGTTTTTTTTTTTTGCCTTCGTCTAGTTATTCTGTTTTTGAGACTCCCCCCTTATTATTCAGTTTAAGGTTTAGCCCGGACGTCCAGTTATTCGTCTTACTTTTTATCGTTTTACTCAAGTGTCATATTTGAAATTAGTATATTATTACTTTCCTTACTTCTACCTTTATTTGGTTCTTCTTAATGACCAGATGTTAATAAATGAGACAAGAAGGAATAGGGATACATAGTTAAGATATACCACAATGTAAGCTGATTAAGTAGAATAGGGCTATATAGAAGACCAGAAACTAGAATCGAACTTAGGACCACATAGAAAGAATCCTTTAAAATAATAACTAGAGTGAAATAAAACTTCATAATTTAGAAAACCAGAAGCAAATTTCAAAACTTAGAAGAGCAGTTTATTTGATAGGAAAAGAAAAGATTACTATTGCTCGCAGCAAACTTCACCTTTTAAGGCTGTATGCGCGTAGCCTGTGCTGCTTTGTCAATTCGGTGAGCTTTCGTTGCGCTATAAGCAAAGGTTGAATGTATTTTGCATTTGGCTGATAACGATATATGCAGCTGCAGCCCGAGGCTACAACTCACTGGCAATAGCGCCCTCGCTTCGAGTGCGAGAAAAATAAACATCTGCCTACTAACAAACGCGCCGTATTTTGTGCTTAATAATATACTTCACTGCGAATTACAAAAGCCTATGGCATTGCGAGCGCCCTTTGCGACGGATAGCTAAACACGCTTATCGTCTTTCAGTCGAAATCCTTACTCTTTAGATTAAGGGAGGCACACAATACCGTCGTTCGCGCGACGCACTCTTAGCATGAGGGTTGGAAACTAGTCGTTGTAGACTTTAATAACCTAAAAGCTACCATTGAAATGACATTTTTTTAATGCTTCTACCGGTTACTCTTAAGATTAATGTGCAAAATAATGCTTAACTCTTTAACGTCGCATTTAAAATTTACAAAAAGATTTCTTTTACTCTTCATTTTACGTTACTTAGCTTATTATGATTCAGCATGTTATAGATAAATCTTATTTTATAGATAAGAAAGTAACTTGTAGAAGAGCTCGTAAAAAATACGTAACTGAAAATACGCACCTCCAACGTGGAAAGTAGTGTTTTCTAGAATGCGCATATAATGCTTAAAAATTTAAAAACTTTTTTTTTGTGCACTAAATTATCAAATTTTTGGTTACTAAAATAAATTTAAAGTCCTATAAATCTTAAAAATAATAAAGAAAAAATTATTTTTTTTCACTTTTATTGAAACATACAAAAATATTCTAAATTTATGAACTCTTTCTAATCAATACTCTAGAGATTTCATTGTGACGGGGCCGCCACCGAGGCACGTATCCTTATCATACAAAACCACCTGCTAAATCAAAGAGTATATATAATAATAATGATAATAACAGTTATTCTTAAAATTTTAATTCAAAAAATTTAAAAAATTAAATTAATTTTATTTATTTTTTTTTTGAAAATAGTTTTACTTATAAATAATATAAATATAAAATCAGTGCTACAAAAAATATAATACCTGACCCGACGCAACAGCTTGCACTTTTCTATGAAAAGTCACGTTACACTTTGAAGGATCTTCACCAATAGCGACTGTGCACGGAACTATAGATAAGATATAATAAAGAAAAATTAGTATCTATTAATATCTTTATATTATTTGTAAATATTTTATTTGCACTAATAGCGATCATGGGCCACAATTTATAGAAGTATAAAAAGGTTTCACGCGATTTAGAATATACACGTAACAATAAAATTAATATTGGTGTAAAAGTTACTCACTGTTTTCAGCTACTTCACAGCTTGGCAAAAGCACGTGGTTAATGAAAGTTATAATGAAAATTATATTAGAAAAAATAAAATATACTTTCAAAAAGTATTCAAGAAAGTAAAAAATATAAAAAAACAAATTTAACATATTTATATAGTATTATAAATATTCATAACAATTATTAATGTTTTGTCTATAACTTTTTCTAAAAAATAGAAATATTTACTTTCGATTCTTCACGTTTTTATATTATTATTATGTATAAAATAATTAAAAAACTTATCAACTACTAATAACTTTATATAAAAATATTTGTAAAATAAAGTATTTATTGTATTAATAAATCCATTCTTCATATATATAACTTTAAATAAATATAATAATTATCGTAAAATTATAGAAAATAAAGTTTATAAGTAATAAATTTATTAGAAAATTTTTAACTATTGTTTTAAATAATCATGAAAGTACATAAAAAATATAATCTTTTTTTCCCCCTAAAGATTATATTTTCGAAAGTTGTTTTAAGTAATAATAAGATATATATAAAAAATATAATAGAGATATTATTCTTCCTCCTTTAAATTTTTCATAAATAATAAAAAATAAGTTAATTCCTTTAAAATTGTTATAAAATTTATAATAAAATATTTTAAAAATAAAATTATTGAACGATTTTTTATGCATTGCTTTTTTATTTACAATAATATGAAAATTATAATTACTTTAAAATTATTATTTATGATAAAAATAAAAGTATAAGTATTTCACAAATAAATAATATAAAATTCTCTGCAAGTTTTTAAAATTATTATGGAAAAAAAAAAATTAAAAAAATTTACTATCTTTTATTCTTTATATAATTAAAAGTAATAAAAAGAATATCAATTTTTTGCAATAGTTTTGAAACTTAGATATAAAAGGTTTCGGAGAAAGAGAAGAGCATATATACCTTCAGGAAAAAAAAAAATAAAAAAATGTGGGACAAACATAGAAACACGTGGTATAAGCACATGCGCAGACACGCGGTACCTAATCCGCAAATACATGATAAAAAATATTTTTATCCTTATATATATAATAATTATTCTGAGAACGTTTAAAAAATAAATAAAAAATAACAATATATTAAAATCTTTATTATAAAATAGACAAAATATTCTTTTAAGTTTTTAATAAATATAATTGGATTATAATTATAGATATTATAACCATTATATTATAAACTTTATTATAATTCTGAAATATAGACACAATATATTAATAATATTATTATTTAAAATAACATAAATATAATACTTTAAGAGTTTTTTATAATATTTACAATATAATAAAAAAATTTACTCTATATTTTCAACTTTATTAAATTAATAATATAAAATAACAAATATAAATATAATAACAGTTTTTATGATATTAATAGAAAAATTAAATAAAAAAAATATATTAATATTCTTTTTTAACGTCTTTAAGTAAATTTAATAAAATGATAAAGACAATAGGAATAACAGTCATAATAATATTACTAAACTATATATTTAAATATAATAAAAATTGTAAATATTCATTCTTAATGGCTCTAAGTAAATATCATGAATAATAAATAATAAATATAATAACAGTTTTTATAATAAATATACATATATTTAAAGTTCTTGATAAATATTATTATATATATAAATAATAATTTTTATAATATTTATAACATATATTTAAATTTAAAAAAATAAATACTATTAATAGTGTACATAAAGCAATAAATAATATTATATTTCTATTTATTTAAGACTTCTAAAAAAATACTCATAAATATATATAAAAAAGTTTTATTATAATTACTATTAAATTTTGATTTCTTAATAAATATTATCGGAAAAGTATAATAAACTTTATTAACAATTTAATAATAATTTAATTTTTATTTTAGTTATTAATAAAATGATAAGCATACTTCAAAGTTTTTTCTAAAAAATCAATAATAATTCATACTTTTCAAAAATATTTCATATTTTATTCAACATTATTATGACAAACTTAACTTCTTAGAAAGTTTTTGAATTTTTTTTTTAAAAAAAATTAATATAAATAATAATTTAGATTTTTTTAATGCAATAATATATAAATAATTAAGAAATGATCTTTAATAAAAAAAAGTAGATAAAAAATTTTTTTTCAGTCCAATATAAAAAACTTATTAGTCTTATTATGATTTTACTTTCATTAAAAAAAGTTTAAAAGTGTATATCATAAATAAATAAAAAGAACATGTAATAATGATTATTATTAAATAATTTTATAATAACTTTATAAGTAACTATTATAAATAAAATAACTTATAGTAATTATTTTTGAGAATTATTAATATATATTATATTTATTAGCATTAAAAAGTTAACATACTTACTATTGAAAAGTTTATAATAAATATATCATTATTATATACAAGAATAATTTATATTATTTTTAATATTCGTAATAAAACCTTCAATAATCCAAAACGAATTAATGAATGTAAAAATTTATATTTCATAATAACTTTATAGTTAATAATTGTTATAACTCAAAAAGTTTATAATATATTTTTTTTTATAAAAATTATTAAGATATTATCACAATAACTAAATATTAATTTTTTTTATTAACTTTTTATTAATAAAGTTTATATAATTATATTATTTCAAAACGATGTTCATAACAAAACCTTCAATAATCCAAACAAAAACTTAAAAAACTTATTCTTATTTTTTACAGTGACACATTCAATAATTATAATAACCCAAAAGTTTATAATATATTTATTTTTATAATAAATTATTAATAAATATATATAATTACTATAACCAAATTTATATTTTTTTTATTTAATAAATTATTTTATAACAAAGAAAAGTTTATAGTAAGTATATTATTTTATAACAATAATCGATATATTAACATTTATAATAAAATCTTCAATAATTCTAAAGAAAATCTTAAAAAAATAATCCAAATGGTAATCACCAAACCTGGTTCGGCGCGAAAGCGGGTAACTGCCAAACAATTGAATGTTGGGGTGTTTTTTTTTATGTATAAATATTCTGGCGGAGCGCCTTGTATCCAATTAAACCGCTCGGTTGAAAGACTGTCCGTCCATAATAGCTCAAAAGGTAAAATTTTAGCAAAATAATTTAAAGTTTCATTTTAAAGTAGATAATATACAAAAGTTTACATAAAAATAAAGTTATAAACTTTTACATCTTAAAAGTATTCATATAAAAATATAAAAGCTTTAAAAGTATTATAAAAAGTTTCAAGCGAAAAAAACTATTAATATATATGTAAAGTAACGGTTTAAACAGAAATATATATATATAAGTGAGATAAAAAAAATGAAAAGTATTATTGATATAAAAGTATTAAAAATATATAAATAATAAATAAAAAGTTACTTATAATATTATATAATAACTAAAAATAAGCTATTTTTAATTTCCAGTGATAATAATAATGTTTATTTTTCCATAAAAATATAAATAGTAATGAAAAAAAAAGCTCTCGAGATTTACAGGCTTTATTAATAATAAAAGCGATAAGAGATAATAATATTTTTTTTTATATAAAACTATCAATATGTTAATAACTTTTATACTAAAAAATATATAATGATTAATAAATAATACTGTAAAGTAAACTTTTTCTTTAACAGTTATAATAAAAGTTTAATATAAAATAAAAAGTTATAAAACTTAATAGTAACAATAACTTTTATTAAAAAAAGTCTACAGTCAAAAAAAAAACAAATAAAAAAAATTGTAAGTCATTAAATAACATAAAATTTATAATAATAAATAACTAATAAAAAATGAAAATCTTTTTATAATAAAAACATTAACAAAATTATAAACTCCATTATAAAAGTAGATAGAAAATATATAATAAACTTTTATAATTAAAATTAATAATAAACTAAATATCAAGATGTGAGTTATGCTGCGTAAAGATGAAGCACTATAGGACCAAGATGAAGTCGGTTCGACTTTGATCGAACGATAGCTAAAGGCTATAACAAAGGAGAACGAAAAAAAAAAGTAAGTATCAAAATTTTCTCTTTGTTTACTAGCAGGACCTGTCGGTGCACTCGTTTACCAGTCGACAGGCGATGTGTTAACACATCGTCCCAGAGGCATAGCCTGAGCTGGGATCAGCTAGATGGAAAAGAGAAAATTTTGATACTTACTTTTTTTTTCGTTCTCCTTTTTCATAGCCTTTAGCTATCGTTCGATCAAAGTTGAACCGACTTCGTCTTGGTCCTATAGTGCAAAAATAATACTGAAAATACAAAATATGTATATAAATATACAAAACTTTTTTACAATATCATAATTTATAAAAAAAAGTTTTACAATAAAACTTAAATGAGACGAATTATTGTTTTAAATACAACTAATATTATGAATATATAATAAAAAAGTAAAACTTTTATAAAAAAAATGGTTTACAAAATAGATAAAAAAAACTTTAAACACTCTACAATAAATAAAAGTAAAATATAAAACTCTTTATAAAAACTTTACATGAAGTAATAATAATAACATACTGGAATGATAAAAAACTTTAATAGTAAATATACTTAGAAAAATAATAAACAGTACAAGTATAACAAACTTTTTTAAATTAAAAAGTTTATAAAAAGTTATAATGACGAATTATAAAAAATGTTAAAATTATATTATACGTTTGTATAATATAAATTTATTAATAAATAATGAAAGTTATATAAAAAAATTAAATAAAAGTTTAATAATTAAAGTAAATAAAAAACTTTAATAAAAAAAAATATATTTTAAAAATTATATAAAAAACTTTAAACTTAATATATAATAAAAGTAAAATACAAAACTTATCACAAAAAAGCTTTAAAAAAATTTTTATTAATATAATTAAAAATTATATTAAAACTTAAAACTTAACAAAAAAGTTAAAAGAAATAGAAACTTATCATTAAGAAAGTTTTAAATTTATATAATAACTTAAAACATAAAATAATAAAAGTAAAGTATAAAACTTTAAATAAAAGTTTCAATTTTTAATAAAGTTATAAAAATAACTTTAATAATAATGTTCGAAAAAATATATAAAATCTTTAAACTCAACAAGAAAGTTAAAAAAAGAAGTAAACACTTTAATAATAAAAATATATTATAACAATTACATACAAACTTAAAACTTTATGAATAATAAAAAATATGAAACTTTTAACAAATAAATGTTTGTATAAAAAAGTCTAACGGTAAAAAAGATTATATTTCTTTAAAATTATTTTAAAACTCAAAACTTAAAAATAAATAAATATATATATATATATATAACTTTTATTAAAAAAAAATCTTCATATAAAAAATTGCAAAGAAAAGTTATAAGAAAATAGTTTAAAAAAATTTTTTTTAATATCATATTAACATAATAAAAGTTAAAAAAAAATATTAAACTTCGAATAAAAATAACAAAAAAAGTAGTATAAATAAAAAAAGTTTACTGAAGTATCACTCCCGTCCACCACGTAAACAATATTATTAACGGAGTCCTTTGCATAAACATAATATTTTTTATCCAAACCACCAATTCTATTAAAAATTATAAAAAAAGTTTTCAAAAAAATAATAATAATAAAAAATATTTTTTCTGAATTATTGTATTAAAATAATAACTAAAAAATGATCAATTCTATAAGAAAAAAAGTAATTTATTATAAGTTATATGATTACGTATCATAATAATAGTAATAATAGTAGAAAATCCTTTTTATAAAAAGTTGTATTAAAATATAAAATCAATGCTATAAGAAAAAAAAGAAACATATTAAAAGTTATACAATAATATATAGCAATAATAGAAAACTTTTATAAAAAGTTGTGATATAATAAATAATTATTATAAGAAAATAAAAATTATATAAAGTTATTTTTAAGTTTAAAGTAATTATAAGAATAAAGAATGTGTTATAAAAAGTTGTATAAATAAATAATAATAAGAATTAATTCGAAATAAAAAAGTATGAAGAGTCGAGCAGAAGTATATAATTATTATTATTGTGAAGACTACTTTTTATGTAAAATTTATATTAAAATAAATAATTATAACCATTTCTATAAGAAAAAAAAATTTAATAAAAGTATATAATAAAAGAGAACATTCTATATAAAACGTTGTATAAATATAAAAATACTAATCAGCATTTCTAAATATACAAAAGTAAATAATGAATACTTTTTATAAAAGTAAATGGAAAGTAATATATATATATATATATAAACAATAATAAATATGATATATAATAATAATAATAATAATAATTATAATAATATTAGGGGAAAAGTAAAATGGATTCCGAAGTTCTGAGACCACAAAACAATTATAAATAAAATAAAAACGGAAAACAATAATAACAATTCAAAAATAAAACAATAACTTTAAATAAAAAGTAAAAAGAAATATAAAAATACTTTTTATAAAAAAAGTTGTATTAAAACTAAGAATAATCATTTTTATATATATAAATTTATAAAAGTTATACAGGAAAATATACTAAGAATAATCATTTTTATATATAAAATTTATAAAAGTAATACAGGAAAATATAATGAATACTTTCTATAAACAGTTGTACTAAAATAAATAATAATCGTCATTTTGTATAAGAATATAAAACATTTATAAAGTTATACGAGAATATATAAAAATAACTTTTTATAAAAAGTTGTACTAAAATATATAGCATTAAGAAATTTATATAAAGTTATTTAAATAGATGTAGTAATTATAGACTTTTTTATAAAAAGCTGTACACAGAATAATAATAATAAAAATATATTTTTTAAGTTATACAAAAAAAAAATTAATTATTAATAACAATATATAGATAAAATATACAGTTGTAAATATTATATTAATAATAAAAAGTATTTTTAAAAAATAAATTGTAAAAATAAGAATAACCAGTTCTGTTAATAAATATATTACAATATTGCAAAGAAATATATAAATAATAAAGAATATTTTCTAAAAAAAGTGATGTAAAGTTTAATAATAATAATATTTAATTCTTCTAATAAATTATAAATGTGTATACAAAGTTGTAAAAAATTATAATATATTAAAAATTATTTTATCTACAGTTTAATTATAATTTTATGAATATATATAAAAAAAAGTAAATTTCTATTAAAATAATAATCATAATAAATATTTAATAAAAAAAAGTTTTATAACAATATATAAAGAAAATAATAAAAAAAATTTTTCTATAAAAAGCGGTATATAAAAAATAATACATTTAATCCAAACCGCCATAAATAAAAACTATAAAAAAGAATCTTGTATAAAAGTAAATAATATTAATAAAATTTATAACAAAGCAAAAAAGTTTTGTAAAAAGATTTAAACTTTTTAATTAGAACTTAAAAAAAGTATTGGAAAAATTTTATGCAAATTTATTATCGAAAACATTTGTATATATATTTTTTTATAAAAAATTAAATAAAAAAAAGTTTTTGTAATAATTTAAACCTTTAAAAAGTAAAAAATATAAAAAAATCTCAGGAAAACACTTTTTTTTTTATAATCATTTTTTGTTTATTTTCTTCAATAATAAACAAGATATTAAAAAATAAGTTTTTATAAAAAAACTAAAAACGTTATATACAACAAAAAACTAAAATAATTTTCATTTAATTTTTAAAATTATTTTTTTCTTATAAACTTTTAAATTTTTTAAGTATATAGAAGTTTTGAAAACCACTTTTATTTATACATTAAAGCTATAAAAGTACAAAAGAAGTATAATTTAGGAAATAAAATCCTTAATGGCCACAACTATTTTTATTATTTTTTTCAGTAAAAATCTTTTATAATTAAAAAAAGGTAAACTACATAAACGCATGCTTTTTTTAAATATATGTTTATTTTATTTAATTTTTATATAAAACTTTTATAAAGCAAAAAATAAATTTTACTTAATTAAAAATTGTAAACAAATTTTTGGAAAAAAATTGAAAAGATAAAATAATAAATAAACTAATTTTTAAAATTAAAATTTTAATTTTAAAAAGTTTTGTATCTTTTTTTTAATTAAAAATTCTAAGAAAAAAAATTTATATAAATTTAAACAAAACAAAAAATTTGAAAAAGAAAATTTAGAAATTAAAAAAATAATAAATCGACTTAAATTAGTAAATTAATAAAATTCAATTTAAAAAAACTGTAATAAAAATACCACAAAAATATATATAATTTTTTTAACGCAATTTTTATTAGCAAAAATAAATTTATTATATATTATTTATAAAAATTTGTAACTGCACAATAAATTTCCAATAAAAAAAATTTTAATTAGAATTTTTTAACTTTTTTTTTTTGTTTTTTTTTTTTAACCCATTAAATATAATAAAACAAATTATGTATATTAATTTAAATAATTTAAACTGAACAAAAAAAATTATTTCAAAATTAACAGTTTTTAAAAAGAAAACTTTATTAACAATTTTCAGTTTTCTATAAAGAATACTTTAGATTTACTCAAAATATAAACGTAAAAAAACCTTAAAAAATTATATAATTTTATAAAATAAACATTTTATAATTTATTAAAAATATAAAGAAAACAATTATTTATATTAAAAAATTTATTCAAAAGTAACAAAGATATTATAAATTTATATTTTATTAAAAAATTTTATTCTGAACTTGAAAATATTGTAAATTAATTTTTTTTTTTTCAAAAAAAAACCTTTTTATTATCTAATTAATAAAAATTGATACCCCATATATATTTAAATTTAATAAATCTTTTTAGAACTTAAATATTATAAGTTATTTTTTTTTTGAAAAAAAAATTTATTAATTACTAAATATTGCAACAACTATAAATTTATATTTAAAAAATTATTATGCATTAATATTTTATATAATTAATATAAAATGCAACCAATTACAGAATTAAATTTTACAAATTCGTTCCGAACTTATAAAAATATTATATATTTATATTTTTTTTAAAAAAGTATCTTTTTACTATATAAAATGCAGCAATTATAAAGATAAATTAAATAATATAAAATGGTTTTGAAAAAATATATTAGATATTCGCATTTTTTATAATAAAAATCTTATAAAATATATATAATAAAAGTTTATAGGAAAAAACCTCGCCTTCTGGCCAATAGTATACAAAAAGTGTCCCGAGTGCTCTCCTAAAATCTCTTTTTCTTTAGAAACAAAAAAGCCAGAAGCTTCGGGAATGTCTAAAATTATATAAAAAAATCAGATTGTTGATAATTTTTGAAGTGAAAAAATATATATTTAACGAAAATAAAATAAATTACTTAAAATTAATAAAATGTTTAAATTTAAAATTGTAAATCAAGTTTTTTTAAAAAAAGTTAGTTCTATAATTTTATAAAAAAGAATTAATTTTATTAATAATTTAATAACTAAAAGTTTATATTTATCATTTTTATATTTTTTGAGTAAATTTATATTAAAAAAAGCAGCACCAAGAAAAATTAGAAAATAAAATTTAAAAACCAAATAAATAAAAGGAACATTTTGAAAAACTTCATCTGCATTAAAAATATTATATAATATAATATTAAGTAATCTTTAAAAGCATTCTCAATTTTAAGTAAATTATTTTAAAAAAATTAAAAATTTGAAAGAAAATTCAAAAAATAAATGGAATTTATAAAATCTAAAAAATTTAGATTATGTATTACAAAACTTTATATTTTTTTTCTTATATTGTCATTCTTCATATTAGATTTATTTTATAGTATTTATTATCTATTTTATTTATAATTAGTTTATTTTTAATATTACTAAATTATTAGTCAAATTTTTACAAATAAATTAACATTAGAATCTAATTATTGTAAGTAAAAAATAGTGGGAATATTTTATTTAAATAACTTCAAAAATTAGATTAATAAATAAATTATAAAAATTCATTTTGGTAATAACTTTTTCATAAAAATTCAAATTATATAAATTTATAAAAGTAAAATTAAAACTTTAATATAATTTTTTATTATTAATTAAAAGCTCAAGTGGCTGTATGTTTTTATATTAAAAAGCGCAAGTTCTACTAATTATTATAAATAATTTATTCAAAAGTTTATAAAGTATCTGTGTTAAATAAAGAAAATTAAAAGTAAATTCTACAAATAAATTCGAAAAAAAAAATTTTTTTCTTTTTCCAATACAAAAATCTCAAGTAATAAAAAAAACTGAATTTTTAAAATTTTTATAAAAAAAGTTCAGTAAATTGTATAATTTAAAAAATTATTAGATATAAATTAAACACTTAAAAAAAAATAATAAAAACTTAAAAATAGGGCAGCGCAAATTTCTTTTAAGAAAGTATCACTTTTTAGGCTACTCAACTCGTTATGCTTACGTAAATTAAAAATTATAAAATTCAAAATCTTATAAAAAAATTATTTTAGCATATTTTAAAAACTTTAATAAGAAAAATAAAAAACCTTAAATATAAATTTCGCCGCAAAAAATTTATTATAAATTTTTATCAAAACAATTTATTTTAAAAGTATAAATAAATTTATAATAAATTATTTTTATTAAAAATTTAAAAAAAAAGTAATAAAAAATTTCGTTGAATTAATAAAAAAAGTTTCTTAAAAAATAAATAAAGTTCATAAAATAGTAAATTTGTAAGTTAATATAAAAAATGACATTAAATATAATCTATACAAAAGTTAAACTTTTGTTTTCTTTTTCTAAAATTCTATTACTAATTTCAATTTTTTTTTGCAAATTATAATAATAAAAAGAATAAAACAAATTCAACTCTAATTAGGTCATAAATAGAAATAATTAAAATTTATAAAATTAATATATAACTTTTTAAATTTTGGAACATAAAAAAATAGATAAAAAAATAAAGCAATAGTATAAAAAGTTACTATAAAGAAACAGTTGATATAAAATATATGTAATATATAAACTTCTAGTTATAAATCTTAATAAAATTTATAAGGTTACACGACTTTATAAGAAAAATTCAAACACACGAAACATATAATAGGTGTCAAAAAAATATATAAATATAAAGATTTAAATTTATTTTATATATAAAAACTATAATTATGTAAAATTATTTAAAATTATTTTTTAATTATATAAAAAAATTAGAACTAAATTTATTTGGAATTAAAAAAAATTAATTGAAAGTATTACTTCTATTAATATATATAACACTAAAATTAGAAGGTATTACTTTTTTATTTAGTAAATAACATGTAAAACTCAAAAATTGATTTTAAATAATTCTAATTGTAGTAAATTTCATTTAACATATGAAAACAATACTACATATTGAATTAAAAATTATTTTAATAATAATATCTTTATACGGTTAATAAAATAAACAAAAAAAAAGTTTTGGAAGGTCAATAATTGTAAGTAATAATTAAAAAAATACTAATATAAATTTTCTAACTGTACAGTTTTCATTAGTAAAGTATATAAAAAGTTTACAATTTTTAATAAATTTTTGAAATTTTCTTTTTCCCACAAAGCAAAGACCAGTACTTGAACGTTTTTCGGCCACGTGAAAACCTACACTTTTAGCAATTTCTCTAATCTTTTATAATTTAATCAAGTTTTATAAGACTTGGAAAAAATAAAACCTGCGATTTTGATAAATGGCCGACAGGAAATAAAACTTTTTGCAAAACAGTATGATGTAAGGAGCTTAAAAAATATGTTTGATCCTACAAAGTAAAAAATCTTATATAGTGTAATTTTAAAAATTTTAAATTTATAATAAAACTTAGCACCAAAGAGTTCATTAGATAAAAAATTATAATTTATTTATAAAATTTCTTTAATGAAGACTATGAGGACTTAAAAAAAAAACAAATAAATTTTAAGTTAATTATAGAAAGCAAATCATTGGACATCATAAAAATTTTTAGCGCAACATTGTAATTGTCTGAAGCTTTTCTTAAAGAATAAATATTGTTATTATTCTTTTGAACATTTGCAAAGTGACCAGTAGAAAGAAAATCAAATCCGCTTTTCTAGTATAAACAAGTAATATTCACACGAAAAGTTTGTTAAAAGTTATATAAATTTAAAAAGAAAACCTGCGAGTATGAGAGTAAAGGGCCAAACTTAATCATTTTATTGCAGTTGATATCAGGATTTGGCGTTAAACCTTGTTTATACTCAGAAAGAAAAGGAAGAAACACGTCATTCCAGTATTCTTTAACAAAATTCAAAACGTTCAGCTTAATACCAAGATTTCTACCAAAAAAAAATTAAAAATTTTACTTATAAAAAATAAAATGAGAGACAGACCTTGCTATAGAAAGGGCATCTTCATAGTCTTTACTTCCTCCACAATGGCCCAATTCCTCTCTATTATCCCAGCTTTGAACAAAGACACCTTCAACTTGAAACTAAACAAGAAAGTAAGGATGAAGAAGTTTATAAATCAACAATACTAGTACCCCAGATTTTAATAATAAGTAAGCAGATACACTAGAATCTACTCCCCCAGAAAGAGCTACAAGAACTTTAAAACTGTTTGCAATGAAAATACTTCCCATTAAAAAAACAAAAAATTGAAAGTAGTAGAAATTGATAATGAAATCTATCATTATAAAAAGTTAGCTACTTTAAAAAGGAAAAGATGATAATAATAAAAATCTCTTATTAGAAAGAACTCTATCTTGCAACAAATATATATTCCAAGGAGCAAGTAAACATAAAAGATAGCAAAAACTGAGAGTAAATTAATTTTATAAAAAGTTAATAACATTCAAAAAGGAAAAGTAATAAAAATAAAAAACCTCTTATTAGACAATGTGCTAAAAGTTTTAATATTAACTTTTAGTAAAAAAGAAAGTTTAGACATTAACTAATAGATAAATACTTTTCGTATAAACTCTATTTGAAAGTGACAGCGTTCATATAACGTTATCACAAGTCGCATGATGTGCAGATACTTTGAGCTGCCATAACATTAAGGTTGTAACATATATGCATATAAATTTTTTCAATTTTTTAATAAATCAGGAATTAACTTTAAAAATATTCAAAGCAGTTGTTTAACATTTTGAGTATATAAAATGACTTTTTTTTTTAACCTTTTTTATTAAATGAGCTATTGTTACATCTAGTACAAGATAATAAACATTGCTTAAATGTATTTTTTTTTCAGTTAAATTTTAACGTTTTAATAAGTTTAGGACTAAACTTTGAAAACATTTAAAGTAGTATTATAACTTTTGAGTATATGTAACCTCATGTAATATTATATGAGCTGATATCACAACTTTCCACTTGGAATAATATGTTTTAAATAATTTCTTTTAACATTTTAAATAGATCTATGCTTAACTTGAAAAATTGAAAGCGGTCTAATAACTATTTAAGTTTATAGTTAGTATTTTTCTCAATCTTTTTATTAAAGACCAATTTTACATATTACTAGGGGCAATACTTAAAATTTTTTAAAGTAGTTAAATAACTATTTCGGAAAAAGTAAGATAGTGTGATTCTCATTTAAGGTATTAACTGAAAAGAGAGTAGAACAAAAAAGACAAAAAAATTCTTTTTAGCTATGAGTTTTATGTGCTTTAACACTCATAACCTAAAAGTCAGCCTCATATTAAACCTTTGCGAGAAAGCGAAATAAATATATACGTTTAGTTACTTACCATAAATTTAATATTAGAAACTATAAAAAAACAAGCATACAACTTGCCCATATTAAAAGTTTCTTTAATACTATTTACTTCGGAAAGCTATCTTGTTTCTTGCGTTACTCACTAATTCAATTAAAAACTTAAGTTTTTACACAATCTTAACTTGCATTTGGAACTACTAACAAACAGACATCCCTTTTAGCTTATATAAAAATACTTTGGACTTAGCATATCTGATAAAAGGATAAAGGGTAATATACCCTGGCTACCACCGAGGGGCTTGAGCTATTGCTCTGAGCTTAAAAGCTAATGGAAAGTAAAAGTATCAAACTTATCTCTTCTCAGAACACTATATATTGCGCAGATTCTGTTGAATGGTTTCCAAAAAATTTTAACGAGTACAGCGATTTACTGGTAAATTAAATGAATTCCAATTTGTGCAATAAATTTTTTTACGTTTACAGGAAATTTGCGTAGCTTTGTGGGACGTATCAACTTTTAAAAGATGAGCCTGAGCCTGGTAGAATTGTATTGTCCCAAAAGCGAGCAGGAAAAATTATATTATATCTTCGCTGCAAAGATTGGGTTTTCTTTCTATACCAAGTTCTTTTATTTACACTAATCTTGTATAACAGTCCATCAAGAATGTTTTAACTGTGGACACAGATGCTGTACTTGATTTAAAATGGTATCCTTTATTACAACTTGTAAATTAGTTTTTTTAAAAGTTATTATGATCTTAATATTTTTACTTGGAGTTGTACTTATATTATTAATTTTTGTGTAAGCACGTCTAGTTTTTGCATTCTACTGCTTTTTGATTATTTAAAAAGCCTAAAGTAGTAATTCCAATAGTGTTGGCCTTGCAGGTAAATTAAATTCATATTATTTAGTAAATCTGGACTTTGCTTTGTTTCAAGTTTGTGCATTGGTGTTTGCTAAGAGAATTGAGAGAAGAATAAAATATAAACCCTAAAGTGTTTTACCCAAAGTTTTAATATAATTTTCAATTTAAAATTTGTGGTATAACTTATTATTTTAATTTTCTTTATATTATTTTTTAATATCTATAATTTTTAACTTCTTTAAAAACACTTAAAATCTCCAAAGTTTACAGAAATTTTATAAATTTTTTTAAGGGTACCCCTCCTACAAGATGTTCGCGAGCAATTTTTTTTAACAGCAAATTCTAGCGGAAGCGTTAGCTTATGGACGTTGAAGGTCTATCTCTTCATTACTTTTTGTTTTATAAAATTATAATTTGATTTTTAAATAATAAAAGACGAAAACTTTTAAAGAGACTAATGAAATTCTTTTAAAGCAAACCGTTAATTTTCAAAAAAGTGGGAATTTCGAAGTTCTAGCATTAGCTGTTGACTTTTCTCCAGTGTAGTAATATATAAGAAATTCTGTTCAAAATCAATACTTATAAATTTAATATTAATTAATATTAATTTTAAATTTCCTAACATTAAAGTTATCATATTTTTATATATATACTTTAGTGATCAGAAAGTTGCCTCTTGTGGAAGCGATGGCACAATGAGTGTGTGGAGTATATCCAACGAGAAATATTTAAGAGAAAGTTTTTCTTGGGAAGGTTAGAAATTAAATTTTGTTTGTGTATAAAATAAATAATTTTTAATGGTAGGAATTTATTACCCTTAGTCTTATTAACGTCCACTATAAAGTTTACTATTATAAGTAAATTTATGAATGTATTTAACTTCATAAAAGAAACATTGTTCAAATTTTAATTATTTTTCAAGAAACAAGTATAATATTGAAATATAAAAGTATTATTTATACTCTTGTAATTTATTCTTTTAAGCATTAGTAACTTAATGATAACTTTATTATTTTAATACTTTTTAAAGATGAGTCATTAATTTCTAAAGCTTTAAGAAATCTTTATTTTTTTTTAAAAATTAATAATAAATTTGAGAGCTGGTGTCAAAGAATATTCGTCCGCAAACAATAAAATCTTGCATTTACTTAAAAGAAGCGCTCATCTTTTTTTTAAGAAGACATTTTTTGATCTAATAAAAAGTATTATTTTATTTTTATAAAGTTTTTGCCCTTGAACTTTATTTTAATTTTGTAAAAATCTTAAAATTTGCCTTAAATTTAATTTTTAATTCTTCATCTGAATTAACAATTTAAAAAAAATAACTTTTTATCAAAATTAGGAAAAAACATAAAACTTATTCTATTTTGTGAACAACTTTTTTTTTTAGATCAGTATTTTTCCAGCTCTTTGCTTTGCTTGTAGAGAATTAACCCAAACCTTTTTTTTACCGATCAGATGAATTATAAATTTTGTTTCTTACTATTGCAGTCCTTTCTAGACACTAATCTTTACTATTAAGGATTCACATTAATCTCCTTATTTATTAACTTTACGCTTTAATAATTTTATTCTCTATAAATAAATTAGATTTTTATATTTTCAAGAAAAAATAAGTTATAAATTATGCTTAAAAAGATAAAGTAAATTATTATATTTTCTATAAATTTAAGAAAAAATATTTACAGAAGGCTGCCTTCTAATTTTTATTATTAAAGAATTTTATGATTAATTTTAAAAGTGAAAGTAAATTTTTTTAATTAATGAAAAAACTAGTAGAACAGGCTATCATTGAAGTGAAATCTTCTAAGAATTCTATGAATAAATTAATTAAATTAAAAAAAGAAACTAAACTTAGTTATATCTAGTACATAACTAAAAAACTAACAAGGCGGGCTGGCAATAGAATAAAGTCTAAAGAATTTTATTATAATTTAATTTTTACTTGAAAGTAAATATTTTTAAATGTTTAGTATTGGAAACTAATAGATCAGACTGTCAATATAATAGAATTTATCAAGAATTTTATGGTAATTAAATTTAAGAAATAAATAGAATTTTATTTTATTTTAATTAAAAACTGATAGAGCTGATCGGCATTAGATTTAATTTTATAAAGAATTTTATGGCTTATAAATTTAAAGAAAGTAAATTTATTAATTTTTAATTTATTATTAAAAAACTAACAACGCAAGATGGCGTTAGTTTAGAGAAATTTTTTAAAGTGAAAGCAAATTTAAAATTTAATTTTTATTTAATTTTTTAAAAAAACCACGGTGCAGGCTCACTTCCCTAAAAGATGACACTTACTGCTATAAAACATCCAAACAAGTTGCGGCTGTAAAACTGATTTTAACTACGAAAAAGTTATATGATTTCTTAATTATGATTTTATTACAATTTGAGACATGGAAAAATTTACTTCATTTAAATTTGTTTAATTAAAATTTTACTGTTCATTAAGATCCCATTAATAAATTTTGTTTACATTTGTAGAAGGTTATTAATAGATTTCCACTATATTATTTTACTTATAATCTACTTTACTATAAAAAAATTTTCTCATAATATTATATTAAGAATTTCAGTGATTTAATATTTTTTTATTATTTTTTTTTGTTTTTTGATGTTATCTTTCTACTATTATCTTTAAATTTATTGTTATTATTTTATATAATGTATTCTGTTACTTCTTTTTTATTATTGTCTTAATTAATATTTATTACTTATTACTATTACTTTTTATATATTATATTATTATCATATATTATTATTGTAAACTACTTTTATGCATATAAATAGATTTTGCTAGCAACTTACTTATTCTTAAAACTTATTTTGTTTTTATATATATATTTTTAATAAAAATTTTACAAAAAAGTTTTGTTTTATGATATTTTTTTGTATGTCGCAGTTTCATGTTTTATCCTTTTAAATAGTGTAATTTTTTAAATAAATTTCTTAAAAAAAATAACAATACTTCGCACTTAAAAAAATAATAATAAAAAATATTTCATGTATTGAAATTTTTTTTAATGTATTTTATGTTTAGCGTAAATTTAAAAAATAAATAGATCTGTATTAAAAAAATAAATTATTATTACATAATTAAAAAAGTTAACTATAATTTTAGTTTTTTTTTTATAAATTTTTTTCAATAACTTTTTTAAAGTTTAGATTTTATAAATAAACTTTTTAAAAGTATAAAACTGTAAAAAAGAAGCAAATTATTAATAATAAAGTTATTGTTTAATGTTTTTGTTGTATATATAAAAATATCTATTCTATTTTTTTATTTAAACAGCAGATAAAGTTTAAAAATACGAATTATTTATTAACTTAAATAAAATAGGAAAATTTTAAATAATTATAATTATTTTTTTCTATATATTTTATTTCTTAATTTTTTTTTAAAACTAAGAATCAATAAATATATTAATAAATAGTATATTGTTATTAACAAACTTTACCTATTCATAATTTATTATCATTGAAATATTTTTTATGTTTTTCTATAAGTTTTCTTTTAATTTTTTACAGCGCACGTTTCAAAGTTTGCTTCTTCTTGCGAGGTTTGGACCTGTTCCTTTGATACGTTGAAGCCACAATTGCTTTATAGCGGTTATACTTTTTACTAATTTTTTTCTTTTTTTTATTATTTTTAACTTGTATTAAAGTTTTTTTTATAAACAGGTCAACATAATTTTTATAGAAAATCTTTCAAATAAATTTATGATCATAATTTTAAAAAAATTAATATTATTATATTTACATGTTTTTTTTACCAAACATTCAATATAATAAAAACAAAATGAAAAATAAAACTGAAATATTAATATTTTTTAATAGAAAATTTTAATATTATTAATAATAATAAATATGGACGTTTAAAAAAATTTGTTTTTAATTATTATTTAAAAATAAGAAAATATTCAAATAAATATTTTATTTTGACTATTTTATAAATATTTTTTATTGATAAAATAAATTTTCTTCCAAATGAATTAAAAAAATAGTAACCACGATAATAATTATTATAAACTTTTTACTTTTATTCGTTATTATATAATTTGCTTGTTTTATCGTATTCTTTATTTAACTTTCTTGCTTATTTACTTTGTTATTTTTTTTATTGTTATGTGACTTCTTGCTTATTCACTCTAATATTTTTGATTTTTTCTATACTATTATTTATTTAACTTTTTTTTCTTATTTACTTTATTATTTCTATATTATTATATTATTATCATTTTTTTTATTTCCTTAACTTTACTGCGTTTTACTAATATTAATTTTTTTTAACTTATTTAATTTGCTGATCACTTTATTTTTTTTGATATCAATTTTTTTTATACTTTTGACTACTTACTTCCCTTTTTTCTTTTGACTATACTATTATAATTATCGTTTTTTATTAACTTTTGCTTATTTAATTTATATATTTCCAATAGTATTTTATTTATTTATTTAACTTTTCCCTTATTTACTTTATTTTTTATATTTATTTTACTATTCTCTTTTGTTATCTACTAACTTCCTTGCTTATTTTATTTTTATTATTTTATTTACCTAACTTTCTTACTTATTCTCTTCATTTTCTAATATTAATATTCTTTTTGCTTTCATTTTACTCGTATATAACTTTTTTAGTATATTTAAATTTCAATACTTTACATTGCAGTAAACATTTCTTTCTTTCATAAAAATGTCTTTTCTTAAACGTATGAATCGAATATAAGCCAGTTTATAGCAGCTTATATATTAATATTTAACAGCTATTTCTTAAACTGATTCCATTTATTTTTGGTTATTAACGAGTATCTAAAAAGCTAAACCTTTTTGGTTACTTAATACCTCTTTTATAGCCAGTCACTTTTATCTTATAACATAAGAAACGCTCGCATTGGCTAAATGATGTTAAGGGTCTACCAACAATTTAACGTTAGACATAAAAATAACACAAAAAAAAAATTCAGGCGGGGAAGACGGGCTGTTAAAATGTTGGGATCTTCGACAGAAGCCGTATTCCACTGTCTTCACGTTAAACTTGTACAACATGAATACATTATCATTATGTTATTATTACTATAATTACCACCAACATTACATTTATAATATAATACTGTATACACTTCTATATACTTTTATAATATATTTAATTTAAAAGTATATAAACATTATATTAATAGTGCTTCATTAATAGTTATTATAAATTATTGCTCATAATACTATAACATTGCCAGTACTTTTACTATTATTATTATATTACTAACAAGTTTTTTTATTACTTTTTTTAATAAAAACTTTTTCTTAAAATATTAATGTATGTTAATGTACACCCTCTATTATTACTGAATATTATTTATAATATTATTTTACAAGATTATTATATTTATTTTTAAAAAACTATAAAAATATTGAGAAAAGTATATAAACACAACTATATTAACGTGCTCTGTTATTATTAATTTGAATAGCAGTACCGAACAATAATTAGCACAGCAGCAAATTTGCGTGCGTGTATATGCTTTTTTTTAAGTTAGTTAACTCAAAATAGTCACTCTGCGGGTATTACCAGCGCGAAAAATAACCACTTCGATGAAGCTTACTTTGCTACGGGAAGGTTATTTTTATTACTCTTGTTATTAAAGACAACTCTTTTATTGTTATTAATAATTGTATACTTCATTATATATTCTTATTATTATTCAAAGTAATAATTATTACTATTTTTCTTAAAGATTCTAACTATTATTTACTTGTTACAATTATTAAAAATATTACTTTTTTTATCATTTTTAAAAAAGTTTTCCTTATTGTTTACTTATTATTATGTAAAATAATACTTTATAAATATTTCCATAAAGTTTTTATGTATTATTTACTTCTTATCTTTATTTAAAATAAAACTAAATCTTTATTATTAATTTAACAAAACTTTTTAATAATTTGTTATTTTAATTTAAATACTTTTTTATTAATATTAATCAAAAATTTTTATTTATTATTTACTTGTGATTATTATTGTAAATATTATTCAAAATTATAAATATTATTTCATAAAAGTTTTATTAACTTTTTTCTTGCTATTAATACTTAAAATAATACTTCGTTATTATTATTAATAATAATTTGGAAACGTTTCCATTATTATTTACTTGATATCATTATCCTGAAAAGGGCTTTTTTATCTAGCAAAGCAATTTATATAATGGAAGTAACTTTTGTTAATATTTTTTTAAACCACATTTTTATATGTTTGTCCCACAAACTTATTGTTTCCCGAAAAAATAAATATATATTGAAGTAAAAGGTATCAAATTTTACATATTAACCTTTATATATAAAAAAGTTATCAGTTTTCAAATAAAATAGAAGATAGAAGTTTTTATTTATTATTTTCCACTTTTTTTAAGGTTTATTAATTAATATTTAGATAATTTTATTTAATATACCTTTTCTTATTATAAATTTATTATTTAATTTATTTTTAAGATTCTAATATTTATTTATTATGCTTTATAATTATTATTCATTATTCATAAATTTTATAAAATAAACTTATTTTGTTAACTTTTTCTACACAAATAATTGTTTATTAATGTTTTAATAATAATAATAATAAGTAAAATAATTTTTTTCGTTATTTCTAATGTGCTTAAAAAATTCACACTTCCACATTTACTAAATAAATATAAAAAAAGTAATTTTATTTATATTCTACTGAAAAAAGCTACGATGAACGCATGTGCTTATGGGACCGAAGAGCGCTGAAGACTCCCGTCGCGTGCAAAAAGATGGGAGGCGGCATATGGCGGCTTAAATGGGTATCAGCATATTTTTAAATGTCTTTTATATATTTCATATCAACAAAAAAAGGAATTTTTAAGTCATTTAATCTGATAATGAATTAAAAAATATATTATTTCTATAAATATATTGAAAAGATAACTTGCAAATGGTAAAAATTTTTATATATAAAATAAATTTGATTAAACTTTTATATATATAAAAGCATCCTTCGTCGAGGTGGTTGCTCGCGGCTGCGTGTGTTTATAATGGTTTCCAGATAGTGGAGTTTAATAATGCACAAGGTTTATTATGGACATAAAAAATAAATAAAATAGTAGTTAATAAAAAAAAATAGTTATACGCATGAAAAAAAATAACATAATAAATAAAAAAATATATAAGCTTATTAGAAACTTTTTATAAAATAAACTAATGCATTATGTTTAGTATTTTTCGTATAAAATGAAATAAAAATATAATATTTACTTATTTGTTTGTTGTTTATTATTTGGATATAGTAATATAAAAAATAAATTTATAGTTTTATTAAATTTTTTATTAATAGAAATTATTGTAAAAGAAACTTTTAACAATCCGCACGCTTCCTTGGCTTACGGAATAGACTGGCATTCGTCAGGACACGCGCTCGCCACGTGCTCTTTTTATGATCATCTTATTTCCTCGTGGTCATACGAACAGTAAAAAAAGGTATAATAGTTTAAAACTTTTGCATATGAATTTAGAATAGTACAGATTTATATAAAAAATATGTATTTTTTAATTGTGCTTAACACTTTAGTTATTTGAAATGTTTTTCTCTGCTATTTTTGCGTATCTTCCATTTTTATTAACTGTTACATACGGCCGGAGTAGTTCAGGAATCCTTTCTAAAAGTGTAGTTCTAGAAGTTTTTTTAACATAAAACTTAGTCAAAATTTTATAGATATAGAAAGTAATAATAAAGTTGTAAACGATAAGATAAGCTTCACAAAGTAATAACTAAAAAACTTGTATTATACTTATAATAAAATAAAATGCAGCAATTGTTTATTATATAAAAATTATAAACGGAACAAAAGCAGAAAATTCACAGAGACTCTATACCGTTTGGGCCCTGCTACTTTTTTATTAACCAGTAAGGTGCACGCATTTCGTCTTCTTAAGCTGCGACGCCCAGCTAAACAAGCGGAGGTGCTTTCTGAGGGCTGAGGGGGTCTTCTTATGCACGTCTCGCACATACAATTCTTATTATTTTCCCCAAAAAAATGTTTTCCATAAAACGCCGTAATTTCTTCTCTAAAAATGAATATATATAGTAAAAATATAAACAATTTTACATCAATTTTTATCATTATTACAAAAAAACACCAGTAATATTTTGAGGTCTCGATATTAATCAATTTTTAATCGACAATAGCAAGTACTATTTTGTTTTAATTTATTATATATAAATTCCATTTTTATAGATAATATGATAAATATTCTAAATTATAATAGTAATTATAAATAAATTTTATTAAAAAAAATTAATTTGATTGAAAATTTGTTAACAAATTTTTCTTCTCTAAAAAAATTAATATATTTAGTAAAAAAAATAACCGAATTTAAACAATTTTTTTATTATTACGAAAACGCATCAGTAATACTTACTAGGCATCAATATCAACGATCAATATTAATAAATCATTAACCTCAAATAACAAATCTTTTGTTATTTTTATATAACATGTATTAATTTAAACTTTATAATTACTATAAATCTTTTGAATAATAATAGTAAATATTAATAACTTAATAAAATATATTTTTTATATAAAAAATTAAAACAAAATTATTTCAGAAATTTTCTAAAACTTTTAGAAAAAGTAAGTTTTTAATAAGAAAAAGCAGGGACCACCCAGGATGAATCTCCCGCAGGACCACCACGCTAACGGAAGAAGGGCCGGAGGAAACTAAACGCACGTTCGGGCGACAGTCGTGGTTAAGATAAGCCGCAGGGCCGAGATATAACTGGCTGCAGCCTTTACGCGTGGAGTACATCACGCTGAAGTCATTGACTCCGCTAATCTTTTTTAAATTAAAAAAATTATTTTTTGTCTGTTCTTTTTTTTGGTTTTTAATTTTAAGTTTTATAATTTTTTTTATAGTATTTAAAAAAAGTAATTGAAGTACGTGTTTTTTAAAAAGCTAGTAAAGATTAGATATAAACCAGCGATACTTTTGAATTCAACTTAATAATCAATTATAATAGCCTACGAGCCCGATTTGTATAATTTTTCTATAAGCAAGACCGAATTTTGTTAAATGCGAAAAATACAGAAAGTTTATAGAAAACACGTCATCAATGTTTTTGCGTGCTCTAAAGGAGATGCGCTGGGTTTTATGTATATCCTCTTGTACTTTTATTTTAGTGCGTTTAATAAAAACTTATAAATTAAAAATCCCAGCTAAAGCAAGTAAGTAAACTTTCGTAAAGAAAAAAAACTGATATAAGACGTATATCCTCAATACAATTAAAAAAATTTAAATTCACAAAATCCAAATTCTTTACAAAAAGTTTCTGATCTAACTGTTTTTACTTATAAACGAGATTTCAAGTTATCTTTTCATAAACTTAATATAAAGTTTTATAAAAGTTATTTATAATAAGCGCTGGCACAGTAAATTTCAAGCAATTCTCAGTAAAAGTAGTCCTTGTCATATATTGTTTTATCTTTAACCTAATTCTAAATGCTGACGTACACATTCAAAAAAATTAATGTAAATTATTTTTTTTATATAAGATCGAATTTGTGGTACAGTTGAAAGTAAAGTAAACGAAAAAATTACAATAAAGCACTTTTACTACTAGTACAGCTAATTCCTATACATTCCGTATTCATCGTACCTTAATAAAAAAAAACTTAAAAACCATACTAAATTTTAAATTACCAAAAAAAATAACGGGTAAAAAAATATTGTTTATTCTCTTAAAAAGAGCAAAGGCAATTGGCATATATATTAAAGCAATTCTGCTTTATCCAAAGAAAGAACCTTAAAAAAAATATATTTACGCTTTTTCTAAGTAAGACCGAAAATAAATTGATTCACAATAATTGTGGAAAGTAAAATATAGAAAAATGAGTCAATAAAGTCCGCGCGAAGGGTATACATATGTAAATGGAAGTAAAAAGCACGCTAGCAAGAAACTTTTAAAAATGCTTATATACAATTTTTTTAAACTCGTATAAACTTTAGAATTAGATTTACAAATACTTATATAAAGAGTTACTAACAAAATATTATCGTCGTAAAAAAAAAAACTTACATTAAAAAAAAAATTTAAATTATTGAAGGTTACTAATAAAATTTTAAATTTGTTCTGTGTTCCAATAACGAGAGAAAGTCAAGGCTCCTCGCCGGCAATCCATAGTACTACTAGCTAATAACACTATTAGATAGTACTAATACTATATATATTCTACAGTCTATAATACGAGCACTGTATACCAAGAGAGGAGCTAGTAAGATTGTTAGTTTGACCTCACAGGCGGCCTATGGACTCAGGCTAGTGTTATTTTGTCACTTATTACATAAGCCAGTAAAGCAAATGCTCTCAGACACACTTAGAAGCTAGAAGCCAAAGAACTCAGGTAACTTAGCATGTTTCACCAAGAGTTTATCCAAGGTTCCACATAATCTATTTAATTACCTAATCTACTGATAACGTCTACAGGCAACACTAGTAGTGATCATGCAGAAATTTAATTTAGAGTTATCAGGGTTAACGCACACCCGATTTACTCAAAGTTTCGAGACTTGTAGCCGATTTAGTCTGCTTGAGATACCGGACAACACCTTTCTGGTGCAGGAAAGATTTTACCTACTAAACAACATGAATGCAGAGGAGCGTAGACTACTTAGAATTAATTATAAAACACGTGAAACAATATGAACTTATTTCTAGAAATGAAAATTATAAAACTAAAGCTTCAATTTAAGGTAAGACGTTTTTCAGAAAATTATTATATAAAAATTTTAATAATTAATAAATTCAAACTTATATTAATTACTTTTATAAGATTAATAATTCAGGAAAAGCACTTTAAGTAAATTATTAATTCAGATTTATTAATAAATAAAAATCACAACTTATAATAAAAGCAAAAACTCTTAAAAAGACGGCTTGAAGCGAGTTGTTATTTCGCATAAAAAATTTTAAAAAAATAACTACAGGATTTTTTAAGTAATTTATTATTTAAGAATCGTAAATAAAATTATAAATAACAAATTTCTAAGAAAAAAATAAAAAAATTTTCAGCTAAAACTTTCTTGATGGTTTTAAGTAAGTTGTCGTAAAATTTAATAAAAAATTATAAAAACTTTATATAAATATAAATATGTATATATTTTGTGATCTGCGTTAACTTTTTTTCTTACTATAACTTTGTTTTTATTGTCAATTCAAAGTTAGGTTATATTTTTCCTTATAAAAGTAATTTAAAGAAAAAAAGTAATATTATTTTTATTACGTATTAAAAAGGTAGATCCTTAAAAAAAAGAAAACTACTAGCAAAGTTTTACGCCGGAAATTTAGATAATAAATCTCAGTTATTTAGATTATCTTATTGAAAAAAAATTATTATTATTAATAACTTTTAAAAAAGGTAGTAACGAGCCAAAAAAAATACCAAAAATTTACTTTCATCTTCACTGGGGATTTCAGCAACCACTCCCACAAGTTTTTCTATTGAGTCTTGTTCTCTCCACAGTTTCGTGGATATTATTTTAGCTTCTTTCTTTTGAGATTTGTATCTTTTCAATAAAAGTTATATTTAAAAGGAAATAAACATTTTTATAAACATTACTAATACATATATACCTATCAGTTAGAGCAATCGTTATTCCAGAATCGGGTAAAAAAAGTTTTAAATAATGCTGAAGATGAGTATTTAAAAATTCCTATAAAAAATTAATTTAAAAATTAAGTTTTTATAATAATATTATCAACAAATTCTGCTGGTGATAAGTGAGCGATCCTTAATTTCACAGATGGCAAAGTAAATATTTTTTTTAGAGAAACTTCCAATATTCTTGTTATAAAAATATCAGCCAAAAGTTCCCGTAGAAAGTTATTACTAAATAAAGTTGTTAAGCTTTATAATTAAATTTTATTAAATTATTAAGAGCTGACAAACTATAGTTAGTATTAAAACAATTTAATAAAAAAAAATCAAAAACAAAAAATTTTAAGTTAAATTTACTTGAAAACATGAAAAAAGATTCACATAAAGTAGTTATTAGCTCTACCACGTTTAATATATACCCAAACCTTAACCAACCTTACTTCATTTCTAAAAGATTCAAAGGTAAGTTGCATTTTGTGTGTGTCTGCTTCAAGATATAAATCAATAATTAACCCTTTATAAGTATATATTATTATAAAAATAAATTAAAACTTAAATCATGTAAAAAAAATTACCGCTGGAGAAATCATCGCTAAACGAAAGAAGCTGATGTGCTCCAGAATAACTACCACTTTTAAATTTTTCAGACTTACTTTCTATTGCAATTGCTAAATTTTACAAGTAAGTAAATCTATGAGCAATATTACACTTTTAAAAATTATTATACCCACAATTAATACTTAAATTTACATATATTGCTAATTTTAAGCTTTACATAATAAATATTACTACTTTCCCGCTCCTAAGTTCTAAAGCATTACTATATATTCTAGTCAGTTGTAAAATAAAGAGCTTCTAGTAAGATATGGTACTACCCATAAAGACTATTGTCTAACAATGTGTAGCAAGCTTGAAAGAAAAGAAGAATAACTACTACCGTTGCTACCGCCACGAGCTACTAAAGAGCCAGTGGTAAAGTTGGTAAGGGCTACATTGAGATTTTATCTTAAAAGCTATGTTTAATCTATAATTATAAGGGGGAACAATCTTATAATATATCGTTTTTGTATTAAATATTATCAATCCACCATTAATTAGTAAAGCAGTCTACTAACTTTGTGCGCCTCCCACACCCGGTATGTAGCTTGCATTTTGACACAAGTTTAGAAAGCGAACGCGTCCGTTGCCAATTGTCCGTACAGATACATTATTTTATTAAATTTAATTGAACAAGTAACGTAAATATATGTTTGAGTGTACAGAATTATCTACTACTTTATACATAAAACATTTCTTGACAAACTTCTATTTACGTTAAGGATAACTTTCTTAACTGTTATAGCCGAAACAGGTCCTATGAAGAAGTTCTTAAAAGGGAGTAGCACTGCTTTGGTATCAGTTCAAGCAAGGATATGAAAGTTTTTAGTGCTTGCTTAAGTAAATAATTTAAAGGGTATTCTCGGTTTAAACTACTTTATATATAAAAAAGACATTCTCCGATTTATTATTAAACCATAAGCAGGGAGTATTTAAAGCGTGTTTTTATAACACTAGAAATCCACTAGTGGCTTTACAAAGTATAGTTAAAGCATACCTTTAAGGGGATGACAGGTGTACAACTGTTCACGCAGCATAGTAGAGCAATAAAAAAGGGGATAAACCCTCATAATCTCCCTTAATATAAAAAATCATCTTGTGCTCTGAATATTCTTTATTCCACAACTACTTTTATACTCGTTAATAAAGGGCTTATTTAATTGGGATTTGAAAGGTAAAAAATAGTAAGTCAATTATTGGAAATAGGTTTTTTCTTTATAGCTAAACTGGGTTGGCAAAGAGTTGAAAACCGTAAAAAAAAGTTATGTAAAAATTAGAGGACCTTGCGAACTTTTACTTAAAGTAATTTAGGTCGCTAAGTTTTTGGTACAGAATTTTGAAAACCATCAATGGGCTTACCATCAAAATTTTATTACTGTAAGGTGGTGTAGAATTTTGTAGTATTCATTCTTCTGATATTAAGAAAAAAAAAGATTTTCCTCTCTTAGTCAGATACTGTCTAGGGTTATCGGATGTACTGAATTAAGAAGGACCATTTTAAAAGGAGTTTACCTTTACTTAGATAATATTTTATTTTTACTTAACAGGTGCTTATTCAAAAAAAGCTCTAGTATTAATTGCATATCCTACTTTTTACAATTTTTGGACGATATGATATACCCTGGATTAGAAACAGTCATATATAAATATAAAAAAACTAAGTTTTAAAAATTAAGAGAAAAAGGGCCTTTGCAGCTAAGCTTTAGTTGACGCCTCACCTTTCTAGAGCTTTAACTATTAGAGGTAAGTATTCTTTATATATTTTAATGTTTTAAATTTTTAATATATGCTTCCCTGAGTGAAGTTTAACTAAAAGATCTATAACAATTAAGCTTGCAAACTTATTTAAAAAGCGCTCCTTACATCACTTGTAGCTCGGTAGCGCCAACTATTTGTGTCAACCTGTTATAGTATATTTGTAGCATTACTTATTTTGGATAACATCTACTGCTACGAAAAAGGACAATTTTAAAGTATTTAATAAGGTTGCATGCCTTTCTGAAAGGTTACTATTTGCTAGCCTTGTGAGAGGTAGGTAATTACATAAACTTAAGCTATTAAATAATTCATTTAAAACAATACTTTATTGTAGCAACTCCTGACTAGCCTTCGTTTTACTGACTAACATTTTAGTTCCAGAGGTAACACTGATCCACTGAGAAATTGTGGTAGCTAATTAAAGATCTGTTATGTATGCAAAGTTCTTCACTAAAGTTAAGTTTTGCTTGATAAAGAAGGCGTGAGCAACAAACAAAAAACTTATTTATTTCTATTTTTCTGTATACGGCATCTATTTAGTGGGAACTACCAAAAGTTAAAGTTATTGAAACGCTTACAAGTTTGAAAATTTAAACGATTTCTTAAATGCGTTAGCCTTAAGTTCAGTGATGTAGTTGGCTCTCAAATTTCTATTTCCATAAATGCTTTAAAAACACTTGATTATATACTAATAGATTTACTTACAAAAAAGTGAGCGCACTAAGAGCTTTAAAGCAGTTAGTAGGGACCATTTTAATCCTGTTGTCGTGGAGATATCTGCCAAAATAACTGTATTTGTATATTTCTGGGGGAGAAGAAATAGTAATCATGCTTTAAACATATCCTATTACTCTTACCATATTGACAACAACGTTTACAATACTTATTATGATCAGTACGTATATCTGTCCCAATGATAACTTACAGTTCTTTTAGGTTCACAAGCTCATTAAACATTTTACTAGTTAACGCAGTAATCTGATTATACCCTAAATATCTTTTAATATAAAGTTAACGTAATATGAAAAACCGAGCCCCGTTTGAAAAGATAAAATTGTTGTTTAAAATAATATTAGCTACTTTTGATAATTTTTTAAGATAAATAATTACTTCAAGTTATAAAGTATTAGAAAACTTATTTATTTGGCATTAAATTTTATGGTTTTATTAATTCTTATTAAATATATATTATAAAAAATGGCGCCTTGTTTATCATTTAGATAAGTTTCCTTTTTACATAGCTCTTCTTTTTTCTGCTGTTAATTCTACAACAGCTCATTTCCTCTCGCACTTAAAAAAAAAAGTTAATCTTTTATAGAAAGTCGAAGATCATAAATAGTCTGAATTTTTGACTATCTCCATACTTTTGTAGTAATTGGCTCCATACAAAGTCGTTTATAAAAATTTTGGTAATACTTTAAATATTGTATATATTAACAATATACTTGAACTTTACTAAATAAAACTTTTTGAAAAAAGTGTAAAGTTTTATTACATTCGTACCAAGAGAAGAAGAGAATAAATATCTCACATTATACTGTCAGGGCAGCCCTTGTTAAAATTTATACAACCAGCGATCTTTCGTAACGAGGGTAATAAGATTTTTTATAATAATTCGATGGGCCCGGCTTAAGTAATGAAATAGGAATAATACAAAAAATTTAAGTTTTTCAGATCTCTAAAGGAATCCTCCGAAGCACTTTTAATCTTATTATACTGGAGATATCTATGGTATTGAGGTTTATTATAACCATTAACAATATGTATATATATATATATATTCTTACAGTACTTGTAAATTTGAAAGGCCCCTAAACATTTTATCGTTTATCGATGTGAGTTTGTTAAATTCTAAATACCTTAAGTATTACTTATAAGCAATCTAAACAAGCGCGGTATATGAGATTTTAATTTAACTAAAACTATAGACTGTATTTAATATTGTTCGTAGCAAAATAATAAAGAAGAATATTCATTTTATTAATTAAAACTAATATATATACAGCTACAAACTCACTATTTTTTTTTATTAGAACTTTTTTATTTGTAAATTAAGAAAAAAAAATACTTACAACACCCTCAAGTTCACGAGGTTACTGAATACTTTACCGCCAACAGAACTTAGCAAGTTATCTCCCAACTTCCTTGTAGTTTATATAAAATTTAATTCTTTTACTTAATATTTAAGAAGATTTTTATATTTCAAAGTACATAGAAAATTTGCTAAAGTGAATATTAGTACTTTTTTTCTATTATTATCTGAAATATATTTTAATCGTTAGTTACCTTTCAAATTAACAACTACCTAACCTCTATAACAGGAAAATACTAATTAACTCTTGTAACAAAAAGACTTAGTAGGTCTTACTAAGACTTGAAAAGTTTTCTCCTAAGCAAAAAAGTTCAACCCTTCCTAACATAACAGCTCTGTCTTCTGCGTGGTTCCCTTAACCGAAACGTAAACATAAAATTTAAGAATAACTAGTTTCCTCTTTTTTTTTTTTTTTTTTTTTGAAAAGAAGATAAAGCTTTAATCTATGTATTTATTAACATTCTAAAGTGATTTATAGAATTAACTTAGCCCTATCACTTTTAAAATCTTATATTTTACTATTTTTTAATACTGTTCTTGAGCAACATAGGCTATCTAAATTAAAGGCCTCCGAGTATAAAAATAGCTAAAGACTGACGTTGCGGAAAAAACTTTGAGGAAGCAGAAATAAATAAATATAAAGGGTTGTCGAGAGTTGATAATATTTACTATAGAGGTAAAAATCTTAACCATAGTAAATAGGGTTTTTAGACCTCCACTGAATTCGACTGACACAATTTTAAAAGCTATAATTTCTTGGTTTATAATTTAATAGGTGTACTGAAATTAGTTCATAGCGTGTATATTAACGCAAAATTCTGTATAATTTGACATTATTATATACAAATATCCCTTAATAGTAAAAACACTCAGTTCATTTAGTTTATAACTTAATTTTTTAAAAAGTTATTAAACTAGCGTGATAGTTAAAAGATAAAATAACTTACAACTCAGTCAACGAAGTAAAGTTGAGAAATGTATTTTCTTTTAACGTCTTAATTTTATTTTGGGAAAGGTTTCTTAATTTTTATTATATTGTACAAATAATATTATACACTTAAAGATTAAAGAACTTACAAACTTGTGATGTTCGATATAACTGTCTTCCTGGTCGGTGTAAAATTATTAAGTGCACAATAAGATAAGTCCCTACTTAAATTAAGTTACAGAATGATTTCACTGGGGGGCCTTAAATATTAGTTAGCTTTCATATTTATATTTTTTATAAAAAAAATTGCTAATGTAAGTCGACGTACAAAGTGGGATATATTTTATAATCCTCACAACGCTCAAAGGCTAATTTTTCCTTTCCAATGAGTACTATAAAACCCAAACCAAAAACAGAGTATTGCATTGTATTAGTTTTATTTATAAGTTAAAATTCATATATACTTATACTTTTTTAACATACTTAAAATTTTTATCACAATTTTATTTTTGAAAACAGTTTATTTAAATATAAATGAGGAATACCTTTGCCAGTAATTACTTTTTACCCTTTACAGAAAAAATGTTATTACGTATATATATGTATTTTTTAAGTCTTTAATTTTTTAAAGCTTTATCCCAAATTACTGCAAATTTGCCAGTATTCTTTACAAGTACTGTGTATACTTAAATGCTAACGGCGAGCAACCAAAAAAAAAATTTTAAGCTCAAAACTGTCATTTTCTGTTGAAAAAAACAGTAAATTAGATAAATAGAAGTTTTAAAATTTACTATTAATCGAAGCAATTACCAATGAAAGTAAATGGTTAAATAATATATAAAAATTAAGTTATATTAATACTAGATATGCGTTAATTTTCTTTAATAATACAGCTGTAAAGGCCATAAATATCTTTTTTAACGCATTTGTTGATTAGATTAATCAGAAACTTAAGGATGTAACAATTTATTCCTATTATTGATTTTAGTTCGGTAATATAGACATAGTTTGGCCCTCTATACGAATTTAGTTGATGCGTATGATATCTTATTTACGAAAATGTGAGTTTATAGCTAAATGCTTATTTTAAAAGTTAAGTTTAATTATATATTAATAGTTATATTACTTTTGCAAGTAAAAAAAATTCGTAGCCTTACTAAAAATCTTTGCTTTCAACCATAAATTTTATTTTGTAAAGATAAGAAGCTGACTACGCTTTTTTAACAAGTAACCCTCGATTTATATTTACTCTATGCTCTATTTTTGTAGCGCACAGAAAAGCTACTTTTCAGGCTAGAGAATATAGAGTAACAAAAAAAATTTCAATAGAAATTCTCCGAAAAGGAAGTACACCTCATAATAAAATTCTGCATACACATACAGGTAAGGAAATAATCAATGGAGGTACAAAGTTAATGAAATAAAAATCTGTAATCAGTGGTAATACGACGCTATTTTGCTAAGATGGTCTTAATTTATAATAAACCCTATTAAGGGGTTAATTAAAACATAAATTATTTCCCGGAGAAAGATTCAGTCTAAAAATAATTTAGTAGTATATAAAATTTAGACTGAGTAGGTAAACGAAAAAAAGCTATACAGCAAATATTGTACGGCTAAAGTTATCAATAAAGCGCAATTCGCTTCAGAAATTTAGCAATACCTCTATTTCTTTTTATATTTCTTTACTCGCGAGATCCGTGTGGTAAGCAGAGTGTTGTTACCTGGTTACAATGTTTATAAACAAAAAAACTATCAGCTAAAAAACTGAAAAAAAAATAAAGCATCACAAACCATTTTTGCTCAACTACTTAATTTTATTTGATAGTTAGAAGATTAAAAAGCAGTTCTGTGTCTTGGTCTCTCTGGTGTAAAAATTACAATAGTCTCAGTATCAAGAAAAACCAAAAGACTATTTTTTATACCTTGTAATAAATTAACAAATAAACAAACAAATTTAACAAGGATAATATTATTACAGTCTAAAAATAATATAATTCTTTTTTTGAATAATAAATGTCGTCAAAGACCAGTCGGTTTGCATAGTTTTTATTTCACTTTAATTTGCTGCTTTAAAATTAAATTATAACTCTTTCTAGTAAGCGCGCCTGGAAAACTCGATTAATTAGCTTCCAATTAGTTACTATATTTAGATAAATACAAAGGTGTAGACTTGCTAAATATCAAGTTAGAGCCTTCAGTTTCTGTGCCATTGGTGGCAAATGAGTTATAAATATATAAAAGTACTTATTCAAGGTGTTTGTAAATTTATCAGCCAAGTGCGTCTAAAATTGAAAAGCATTTAACTGGCTAAAGTAAACACGCAGTACAAAGGTAAAATTTTAAGTATTTGTGAGCTTGTTATATAAGCGTATACAAAAGTAATTGATAATATGTTAAGGGAATAGAAGTGAAAGTTAATTTTAACCTTTGTCATTAATTAATTACCACATTTTAGTAATAAGAAATACGCATAATGGAGGCTGATAAGTAAATATGGAACTATACTACCTAAATCCGCAAAAAAAAATTATTGATTAACATGAACGCCGAAAGTCAGACAGAGTAGTAAAAGAAAAAGAAAATAACTGGAAAAAACTTTAAGTTACAACAGTAGGAGATAAAAGTTTTATACCAAACTTAATAGAAGAAACAGAAGTAAATAAGAGACTCGAGTTTTATAGAAGAGTTAGTAAAGGTAAAGCGTCTGAAAAAGCTGGCCACATATTTATAATAAAGTAATAAAAATAATTTAAAAAAAGCAAATAATTAAAGCTTATTTAAGGATTTATAAAATAATATAATAATTAATAAAAAACTTATAAATATATATAAAATAGAATCAGAACAACATTTAAAGTAATAAAAGTCATAGAAAAAATAAATATTTAGCAAGTGGTTACGAGTTATTTAATATATAATAAGGATTTTTAGAGACAAAAAATAATTATAAATATGGTAAGCTCAGCAACAAAAAAAATTGTTAACAATAAATTTTTTTTTAGTTAAAAAAAAGAGAGTCGACTTATACGCAAACTCTTTTCCTAATAGTTACTAAAATAGCGCTACACAATAATTTAATTTTTCCAAAAAGTTACAAAATAGTAATTAATTTACGCTATCTACTAAGAACTCATTTTGAGATTTCATATAATTACAATAACAGAAGTGATCGCCAATGGAATGGCGCTACACAATTTTGTTTTTCCCAAAAAGTTACTAAATGGCAGTAATTTGTCCCCTACCTACTAATAAAAACTCACAAGATTTTATATAATTTTAAAGACCTTTTAAAAAACCAAATCAACATTAACAGATGACAATTTCGCTATTGAATGACGCTACACATTAACTTCATATTTCCAAACGTTACTAAATGGCAATGTTATGCACTATCTCATACCTTTTATATAATTAAGACAACAGTAAAAGATGACTTGTGTGATAATGGCATGGCGCTGCACAAAAATTTTGTGTTTCCAAGAAATTTACTAAATGGCAATAAATTTATGCACTAATCAAAACTCAAAAAGATTTTATAGAATTTCAAGATCTTCTAAATAATTAAATTGACAATAATAGACGACAAGCTCGCTACTGGAACGGCGCTACATATTGAATTTGCTTTTCTCTTTTAAAAAAAAATACCTAAAGGCAATAAAAATATGCACTACATACTAATAAACAATTAAATTTTATATAATTTTCAAGGGCTTCTAAAATGGAATCAACAATCTCTTTAGTCTAACAGCAAATAAAGGAAAAATTCTTTTAATCAAGGAATTGTTTTAGTTTGCCACTAAATTAAGTAAACCTCTTAAATAAAATGCGAGCTCAGCTATAAATTCGGGTAAAAAACTGCCTACCAACTCTTTATTACTAGTGTTAAAGTGTGTAAAGATTATAATTCAATAGTCTTATACAATCAGCGTCAATGCTAACACTTCCAACTAAAAATTACAAGCGAGTCAGCTTTCCTCATTAACTTTATTATAAAAAATATATATAATCGTTGAGTGTTATTAATCTTACGAGTGCAGAACAATAAAAATTATAATGCAAAATTTAAACAAATTAGTGTCTATGCCTCTTCCTTTCACTTTCAAATTCCACAAGTTCTCTACGTTTATGATATGAACCCCTCAACGAGGAATGATGCCGAGTTACCCTAATAAAAAAAAAACTCTAAATTCCAAAAAAATTATCATTAAAAAAAATTTTGAAAAAAAAACCAACAGCAAATTTTCATAAAATAGTAATAATAATAAAAATAAAAAGAAACTCGGTGGTGGCGATCATGGAAGTGGCTCTTCCTAGTGATTCTTTTTTTCCCGAATCTTTCTTGGAGGTCATGGCGTCGTTTAAAAGAGCATCCAAACCAAAAACGTCGTCATCTTCTTTTTCAAACTGAACAGGTCCTACAAAAAATATTTTTATTATAATTTAATAAAATAATAATTAACTTGTATAATATAATGATTATAAATAAATTTATTAAGTTACTAATAAATACCTTCACGGGGAGGAGCAGATTCGTCAGCTCCCAGAAACTTTTTATCAGCCACAAACTTGTGCTTTTTAAGTTTAGCAATATCCTCATCTCCGTACATATCAGAATCGACCGATTTCGGTCTTCATAAACCAGATAAGCAGGAATAATATTAATAATAAATAATATAAAAAATATAATAGATAATAAAAATTTACTTGTATATACTTGTACTGGTGGAGTTAAACAGTGGCTTATCGTAGATGCTATAGGCATCTTCACTCCCAAAACCGCTAGTGAGCCCCTTCGACTGGTTGAACAAACGTGCGTCAAACATGTTTTCTCCGGCTGTAAATAATAATAATAATAATAATAATAATAATAATAATAATAATAATAATAATAATAATAATAATAATAATAATAATAATAATAATAATAATAATAATAATAATTAATAAATTTACTTGTATTTGTCTTAATGGGCTTCCCAAGAGCAATTTGCTCGCTGATGTCTCTATCAAGATCGCGCTCACGAACTGTTTTTTGTTTTTCCAAACTGCAAATAGTAATTTAATTTTTGTGGATTATTAAAAACTTTAATAGAATTTAATATTAACTATTTAGTTATTAAATTTATAAAAATAAAAATCTGTTATTCATACATTAAACTTTTTATACTCAAAAGAACAGTAAAAAAAATTTATATTGAAAAAAGAAACGAGCCTCGCACGCTTCAGTCTTCGCTCTCTTTGTCTCTCGTAATGCCGCTCTTTTCGAAGCGCTTCCCGCTCAGCTTCGCCCTCCGCATCCTTCATTTCAGCGGGCTTGTCATCCGGCTCGGTTGGGACAATCCCTTCACAAAAATAAAAGCAAATAAAAATTAACGAATAAAAAAATTATATCAATAGAAACCTGCACGTTCATTCCGGGCTTGTGTAGCGCGTCGAAGAAGATCTCTTTCTCGCTGCTCTTTTTCTTTACGCTGCAGCTCATTTTCTAATTCGCGCCGAACTCTCATTCCTTCAGCAACCTATTAAAATAATATAAAAATAGAAGGTTTACATGAAAAATAAAAAAGTTTTCATAATATAAATATAATCACATATATATATATTTAAAATTTTTAAAAAAAACTGTTTCATAGACACCAAGCTTATAAACTAAGCAACTTAAGTAAATAAAAACATATAAATTACTAATCAAAAGTTACTAAGACATAAAAAAAGTTTTTTTTACACGTAATTAAAAATATAAAAAAAATGGAACTTGCTTGACGGTACGATTCATTATTGTTGTGAACTCGCCGAATCGGGAACTGATTTCTTTTTCCTGCAATCCCCGCCCATCCACGAGACGCTTCTCAAGTGGGATCGTGTATCCTAAAAATTTTAGTATAAGTCATAATTGAGTTTATAACGAAATAAAGAAGGGCACTTAGGATTATTTTTTATTTATTTTAAAATTTTATACAAATAAACTAAATTAGAAATACTCAAGCAACTTTCTCTTTTTCAAGTGGTACTGCATAAAACATATTATAAATTTATAAAAATTCAGCCAAAAAATTAAAACAATAAAAAATCGTTAAAAAATTGAAATTAAAAAGTGGTAAACTTCTTAAACGTTTTTATTAGTTATTCCACATAATTGTAAAAGGAAATAGAAATATAAAAAATACATAAAAGTTTATTAATGAATTTACTTCTTTTTGTTCTACAAAAAGAAAGTTACTATGAAATTTTCTTAATAAAGCGCTTGCAGGAATAAAATTTCAAACTTAATCCATAAATAATAACAACTTAAGTTCATTAATATAAAAGACGTAAAAAAAATAATACAACTAAAAATTGCATTAATATATATATATAGGCATAAAAGAAAACCCAATTAAAACTAAATATTTTTTAAAAAAAAAGAAATTATATATATTAGTAATAAAGAATGGGAAGAAAAAAGTAAAAGCAAAATCTCAATGTTTTCTTCTATAGTAAAAATTGAAATAACAATATCGACCTTTAGCATTCTTCCAATTTGAAACACAAGGAGGAATATTAAAAGCAGCCTGCTCCTCTTTCGTAACCTTAAAAAAATTTTAAGAAAATTTCAAATTCACATTCGGCATTTCCGTATAAAATATAATAATTTTTATAACGTGTAACGCACTAACGCCACAAAAAAGGAAAACTTCAAAAAAAATAATAGACAGATAACAATTTTAATATAATATTTAGATTTAAAAAAAAATTAAATGAAAAGAATTAATAAAAAATAAAAAGTTAAGTAGGAGGTAATCAGTAAATAATAAATTTATACTTTAGTTTAGAAAATATATTAAATAATAAAAAATAGAAATGGAAATATGTAATTATACATAATAAGTAGATATAAAAAGTAATCAATAAATAATAAATCTATATTGAGATGAATATAACAAATTAATAAATGGAATAGAAACAGAAATATACATTTATGTATAATAAAAAGAAATAAAAAGTAAACAATAAATAACAAATTTATACTTTAAAAAATTTAATCTAAACATTAAAAAAAAATTAAAAATCAATTGAAATGAAAACTTTTCTAGGAGGCGAATGGAGTATGGGAGGGGGAGGAGAAGGTGGACCAGCAGGGATTTTCTTGTGTCTGAATTTCGGCGGCTCCATGGGATCGACAGGCGCGTCCACCATGCGAATAATCCTCTGCTGCGCACCTGAAGAAATTTAAAATAATCTTAAATCAAAATGAAAAAAAGTGCATAATAAAAAGTTAAAAATAAACTGCAATAACTAATAAAATAAAAACTTTTTGCTACGCACCTAAAAAATAGCCTTAAAAAATAGTTGTATACATTTAAAATATTTTAAATTAAAAAAAATAATAATAAAGATAAATACAATTAATTTCCATTTCATTAATCTAAAAACAGAAATCAATAACAATATTCACAAAATAAAATCCCTCATTTAAAAAAAATAAAAAAATTGCAAAGGATCATAATAAATTGAAATTAAGAAAGATTGAATAATGGAAAATAAAAACAAATTTTATTTTACCAATTAAAAAAAGTAAACTAAATTGCAATAATAATTAACAATATATCACCCTTTGTTGTGCACCTCTAATATATTAAAATGAAAAAATTGAAATTAAAATAAAAAATAAAATCCTAAAAAAAAATTAAATGCCAATAACAATCAACAAATTTAATTAAATAACTAAAAGAAAAATATAAACTATTTACCAAGTTAAATTACAAGCATGTATATACTACTAAAAATCGATAATGCCACTGAAATAAATCAAAGAAGGAACAGTAATACTTATAAAGCTTATAAAAATTTATGCGACATGAGATTCATAAAATAACTTAAAGTATAAAATAATTTTCAAGTAAACTTTGAACTTTCTTCTTAATATCACTTTACATATACAACTTAGCATGCCCAAAGAATCTTCATATATTTTTTTAAAGGGCAGGAGAATATTTATCTTTATTGAGTACTTTTTTTAAACATTTTTTATTATTATTTTTAATTAAACTTTACTAAATATTATGTGTTTCCATTACTATTGTTTACAAAACCCAATAAAAAATAAATTTTTAAATAATTTTTATGTAAAATACTAGTATATAAAAAATAAAATAAATTCTAAATTTATTTTTATTACCTAATACCTAGTACTATAAAAAAACCCAAAAAAATATAATAAATTTCCTAATAATAATAAAAAACTCAAGGCAATATGACTTTTAAATTTTAATTGACTTAATTTCTACTATTCTAAAAAATACTTATATCTACTTTTGGTTTCTTACCTTATTACTAGCATTCTAAAAAATAAAAACCTATAAATATAATAAAACCTAAAACAATTTTTTATACTAAATTTAGTATCTAAAAAAAATTATTAGGCAGATGTAGCATTTCAAAAAAAGAATTACCAGAATTATAACCAGGGCCTTGTTGTGCCGGAGTAAACCGAATATACTTATCAGGAGATGATTTCTCTGGAGCTCTTACGGGCTGCGCAGCAGATACTTTATGTTCAATTATTTTCTCAAGAGCTAGTCGAGTTTCCTCAGCAGTTTTATCGATTTCTTCCTGGCCTGGTTTTTGTAAAGTGGGGTCATCTTCAATGACATCCTTACGAACAAGCTGGTTAAAATCGGTGTGGAGGACCTTTATAGTAGAAATAAACAATTTAAAAACTCAAAAATAAAATAAAACATTTTAATAGTTTTTTAAGTTAATAAGTCTTAATACCGTATTCAAACCGTGGCCTTGACGAACGATAGCATCAAATCTTATTTTTCCATTTTGATCAACTTGCAAGGCTAAAGTTTTCCCTGTCTTCTCCTTTCCCATACCCTGAGGGTATTGAGCAAGAATAACTTCAGGATATGCACCGCCATCTCCAAAATCCTAAAGGAGAAACCGAAATAACTTAAGTATACTTTATATCAAAATTTTCTCTAATACAGATTGTGAATGAGGTATCCAATTTTTACGTTCGCCGTAAGGCGGGGCCGTACACTTTGACTTTACTTTCACACGTTCTTGCTTTATAATGGCAAGGTCTAAAAATAAAGTAACTAGTAAATTGCACCAGTACTACATACAGTAAAATTTAAAGTTAAACAAAAAAAAAGTAATATAAAAAAAAAAGCAAAAATAAACTTTTGGTTTTAGGTGGCGGTAAAACAACAGCCAAGGACTCCACCATTTTTCCAAAGTAAAGATAAGAGACTGGGTCGAGTGTAGTGCAATTCCACTACTCTCTGTAGGGTTGACGTGCCCCATAACACCATGCTTTCAGAATTAAGGCCAATTAAGTTTAATTTTATCAAATCTTTTTTGTTACCTACCAAATACCCTTCTTAATTGTAATACTATCCAATCACTGCAGGCTTATTCAGCGACATTCGTCAGGCGTTGGTTGTGTATGACCACCTTTTTAGCGTTTTGTCAACTGTATTAAGAAACGTCACCGCATGCCAGCGGTTCTCTCGCTGTCAAATTTATTTTGATACAGTCAAAATCGAACCGTTCCCCAAAGAAGAATGAAAAACATCTGAATAAGGAACTGTATTCATTTAGTAAGGCCCTTCAAAATGAGCATCCACTTTTTGACGTGGTGAAAATTGTAGCAGGCCTTTCCGCCATAGCATAACAACGTGGTAATGACTGAAAGCGACATTTTAGGTCGATACATTTTGTTGCTCAGTGCGCTACACCCTGGGGACGAGGTGAGATGGCCTGGACCAAACGACCCTTCGCTTCACGCTTTCTTCCCGCTCGTGCCACAGTTGACAAAAGCGCTATAATTTATACGCTGGAAAAAATGTATATATTAAACTCAGCTAAGAGTGCTAATTTGTTTTTATTTTTCATGCCAGAATTTTTAGTTATATCTGTTTGAGTTAACATACCGAAGTAATAAGTATTTGGCAACTAATAGCTCAGGATAACAGCAAATATGGATTAAGTTTTTTTAAGGAAAAAAGCAAAATCATTCTCACGGTGGCCAGGTCTTTATTGTACTATTTTTCTTCTCTTCTATAATATAGTGAAAATTTTTGTAATTTAACTGCTTACTTTTATGCATACAACTTTTTAGCCCTTTAAAGCTTAGGTTTTATTCTCTTGTGTATGAGAGAAGTAATGATAAAATTATATGAAATTTTTTTAAAAAAATGTGTATTACGTAAAATTTTATATTTAACTCTATTTTAGCCGTCAAAAATGAAAAATTATATGAATAACTAGTATATAGAAAAGGTAAATTAAAGGTTTCGTTTAGCAAATTGATAAATTTTATTTAAGAATTGTATGACTAAAAAATAATTTTCTACGCATAAATATTTTTTACAATAATTTCGCCTTCACAGGCAAATATATTCACTTACCTATTGGCGGTGTTAAAAGAAAATTACTTATGTAAATTAGGCTGTTCGGCGGAAAATACGCCTAGGTAGTAAAACTAATTTTTATAAACTATTAGATTTTTTATTTTTCAAATTAATCTATATCTATTTCAATACACCTTTCAAATATACCGTGCAGTTGTTCCGCGAAAAAAATATTCTGAACTCTCATCTACAAAATGCTCAACTACAGTAGATCTCATTTCGTTTTGATAGAAAAGTCTTCTACCACTTAAATCTTTTCTAATCTTTAAACAAGTAATAATCGCTTGGAGTCAGGTCTGGATTGTGGGGTGAATGGTTAATTTCCTCGAAGCCCATATCGTTAGCACACTTTGCAACTTGAGCTGTATGAACCGGCGCGATGTCTTGTAATTGGAGAATCCCTTTGGGAAGTTTACCCTTGCATTTCTAATGACTCGTTGCAATTTGATGGCTTAGCAAGCGTTATATTACCCGTATATCATTCTTCCTTTAGAGGTCAACCACCAAAAGTATTCCTGCGCCTTCCCAGAGTTTCGTTGCTATAAGTTTGGCAGTCACTCTTTGAACCTTTAATTTGCGCAATGGCTTTACTCCTTTATTTATCCATTTCTTGAACTCTTGTTTAAATTCTGAATCGTACCAAGAAACCATGTTTCATCACAGGTTACAAAGATGATGACAAATCGCACCTAAACTATTGTCACTTAATAAATGACTAAGAAGGATTTGCCATCAATATCCTTGCTAATCTCTAGTTCCTCTGCTACCTAACGATCCCCAATCCGACGGTCTTTAAGAACTAAATTTAATTTATATTTTCTTCCGTAATCACCGTGCAAGACCCTCCTTGGTGCTCATCGTCTTTAATTCACTCTCATCCCTCTTTAAGCAGTCGAGTACACCTTTTGACCGTTGCATGATTTCTTTAAAACATTTACCTTTTTTTTACAAGGAACTTTATCACAACCCATTATTCATAGTACTAAAATGACTAGGTTTCGCAGAAAATGTCCTCTGTATGACGTTTTCTCAATAACTGTTACATCAATATGACAAACCAGCTTTTCACATTTTGCGAGGTCTACTTTCCGCCGGACAGCCCACGTGTACATATATAACAATGGCTACAATTAAACAATAAACAAAAAAAGAAAAAGCTAAACAAAGAGTGAAATGAGAGTAAAGTTTGTAAACTTATTAATTCATAGTGCTTATATGCCAAATATTAAGCGCCGTGTCGTAAAGAAGCTCTATATTTCCCTTCTTTTGACCGCGGCCCCTAGCAATTTAAGTAGCCATACCATAGTTTTGTATAGTTGTAAAAGAGGTGCCATACACCTATATTTATCCTGATTTTTTTATATACCTTACAATATAACAAGTAGTAATATGACTACTATAAGGCGAGAAAGGGCTTAATTTAACATTAGTTTGTTGACTTATAAGTTCAGATGCATATAAACACATATGTGTGCAGTTAAGTTTCAAAAATATTGTAGATGAGGACAAGGTTTGATATGATAAAAGATAAAGGAAGTTTACAGGGTTTTGGTATTTTACTGTTGTGATCAAATAAAACGATAATTTTAATTTATAACTTGAGATATACTGGTTCATACTACTTCCTTCTTGTAAATATGCGTATAATTAATTAGTATTTGGTAACTTTTAAAAGTTAAATGAGTGATCTCCCTCTCCCCTGGTTTGACATGGTAGTTGTCACCAAGGAGAGTTCGTGCACAGAAGATGGTTATGTTTATGTCATTAGCATATTATTCTCTTGTATAACAGCGCCTTCTACCTCACTTTTATGCATACGGGTTAGGAGTAAAGCAACTCAATAAACTTGTTTCTGCTTCTTTCTTACTTCTTCATCAGTGACGTAGGCGCTAAAGTTATATACTTTAAATACGCTTACTGAGGGGCAAGATAACACTTAGGATAAAGTCAGAAGCTATGACCCTTAGCACACTGTAACGTCTCTGCCTTTAGGCGCAATGTTATTCAGTGTGCTCGTCATCTGACGTCTAAGCATTAGTAGAGTCTTTCGCTTTTCTTTTTTTAAGGTTCTATAGGTACTAAAATATACCCTATAGTTTTTAGACTGAAGATGTAAGTTTGTTTGGATTATTTTACTAATAAGAGTTCGGTCTTTATTGTGTTTCTCCACACAAATAGCCGCTAATAGACTGGAACCCTGCGTTTCTATTTCTTTTTTAACCATTTCCACACTCACTGTAGTGCACACTTCTTAAATGACAACCCTTAAGTCTTTTTCTAAGGGTAGCTGATAAAGATATTAAAGTACAATAAAGTCTTAAAGAGGTGAAAACAATTTTCAGAATATAAGGATGACACGAGTTACATCTTTAGCAGTCAAAGCCCTCATGTCGTTGTTCTAATAACTATGCGATCATATTCCAATCTTGATTTCTAATCGTAACATACCGTTTTTTTTCGTTTTATTCTTTAATTCTTCTTTTATTTAGGTTATCTATATTACTACTTTTATTGCTGCAATTTTTAATATCAGAGGACTCGGTTCAATTCCTATTAGTGCAAGAATTTTTAACGTTAGCAGCATTACAATTATGACTATCTATAGTGCTACCCTCGTTTTTAATGCCGGGTTTAATTGCTGTATTCTCTAATTCCACTATTACGAACAGTGGAGTCTGAGTGCTTGGGTTCCTTTTAAAATTAGGCCTACCCCCAGATGACTTTCCTCTAAGATCACTAAGAATATTTAGTCTTTTTAGTACTCCAAAGGAAGTTGATAAAGAATCTATAATCTTGTTTTCTCGCTCTAATTGTGCCCTTAATTATAGCTAGCAGATTAGTAACCGTCTCCGTAGAGTATTGTCATTTCGTGTTTTTAAGTTACAAAGCTATTCAATAATAATTTATGTGTATTTAAGCAACGTATTAATAAATTTTATGCAAGTTATAATAACAAAATGAAAAATAAATATATAAAAAAGAAAATAGATTAGATTGAAAAAAATATGAAAAAGAAGTAATAGAATAAAGCTGGCGAGCTGGATTTATTAACCCTTTAACGGATAAAACTGGTACTTAAAACAGATTTGCTTTTTACTGCGAAATCACTTTCTATATTGAAACTATACTTTAAAGTCTAATATTTGCTTTCAAAGTTGATTCTATATTTTGAAAAAGGGTGGTTACTATGTTTACCAGTGAACGTTTAGCTGATAATACATCTTTAATGTTTACTGGTAAGAATATTTGACACACTTATTGTTGAGCATATCACAAAAAAGTCTTAATTTGTTTTCTATAAATAAAAGATGCAATTGCAAAAAATAAGAAGTGTTATTTTTTCAAAAATATAGGTATATATTCCATTTAATAAAAAGAAATAACAAAATAAAGCTTTATTTCTTATATCTATGATGCAGATACTAATGCCTAACGCAAAATAATACATTCTCTTCAAAAATATCAGTCTCATTTCAGTCTTCTAAAGAGACGATACTATAATTCTCTTCAAAATAAACGAAAATCCTTTCATAAATTTTTGTGGAAGGGCACGAAACATTCTAAACATAGAATCACTTCGCACTGGTATGAACTATATTACTTCGTTTTTAATTTTTTGCAGTGCTGTAATATAAGCGTACCTTCTCCACGTGCCTCATAAGCAGATGATCACCAACATTGCACAATCACGCATCCATTGGGGTTATTCCTTTTTCTACCTCTTCCCTCTTTGTTCTTGAGCAATATTTCCAATCGGTTCATCTTCCAGAACAGATCGGAAACGTATATGACTTAGATGCTTAAATGTTTGGTTGCTGTTTTTCCAAC